AAGAAGAAGAAGAAGAAGAAGAAGAAGAAGAAGAAGAAGAAGAAGAAAGAAGAAGAAGAAATGTAACCTAAACTCTGGTCTAAAGCAGATTTCTAAAATAAGGACCACATGCATAGTATAGGCATACCTTGGAGATATTGCAAGTTCAGTTCTAGACCACTGCAATAAAGAAACTACTGCAATAAAGAAACTATTGCAATAAAGTGAGTCACAAATTTTTTGGTTTCCTAGTGCATGTAAAAGTTATGTTTACATTATACTGTAGTCAAGTAAGTGTGCAATAGTATTGTGTCTAATAAAACAATGTAGATACTTAATTTAAAAACATTTTATTGCTAGAAAATGCTAATCATCATCTGAGCCTTCAGCAAGTTGTAATCTTTTTGCTGGTGGAGGGTCCTGCCTCAGTGTTGATGGCTGCTGACTGATCAGGGTAGTGGTTGCTGAAAGCTGAGGTGGTTGTGGCAATTTCTTAAAATAAGACAACAATGAAATTTGATGCCAACAATTGACTCTTCCTTTCATGCAAGGTTTTTCTGTACCGTGTGATGCTTTTTGATAGCATTTTACCCATAATAGAACTTCTTTCAAAATTGGAGTCAATCTTCTCAAACTCTGTGGCTGCTTTGTCAACTAAATTTATGTAATATTCTTCAATTCTTGTTGTGACTCAGGGAATAGGGAGGCCCAAGGAGAGCGAGAAAGACAAGGGAATGGCTGATCAGTGGAGCAGTCAGAACACAAATATTTATTAAGTTTCGTATTTTATATGTGTGCATGGTTCATGGTGCCCCAAAACAATTATAATAGTAACATTAAAGATCACTGATTACAAATCACCATAACAGATAAGATAATAATGAACAAGTTTGAAATACTGTGAGAATTACCAAAATGTGACAGAAATGCAATGTGAGCATATGTGGTTGGAAAAATGGTGTCAATACACTTGCTCTGTAAGAGTTTCCATAACTCTTCAATTTGTAAAACAAACAAAAACAGCAGCAGCAACAACAAAAAAGCAACCCTGTAATATCCTAAATGTGCAATAAAACAACTCAATAAAACAAGAAATGCTTGTAATTCTGCACTTAAAAGGGTAGTCATGAAATGGTTTGTGCTTATACTCCCAGTTATAGTGCACAACTTTCTAACGACTCAGCACTAAGGGAAAATTCCTCCTAAGGGGCTTTCATTGTGCCCTTATGCTGCAAATAAAGAGACACCCAGCAATGCAAGGATGGAGTAGACTACAGGTATTTATTAGAAATAACATTAAATCTGGTAAATGTATTCTTTAATAGAATAAATACAAGAAAAACACAAATGGAAGTAAGACTGGGGCAATATAGGGCCTGCCGCTTCCTCTTGGCTGGCTTATTTCTCTTAGATGTATACCTGTGACAAAATACACATGGTCACACTCATCTCTCAGCTTATCTCTCATGGTCTTAAAGAAGGCAGCTAGTGGAGTAGTGCATACAGTGCTGGGTCTAGAGTTAGCAAGTTCTGAGTTCAAATGTGACCTCTGAAATTTAACTGTGTGACATTGGGCAAGTCACTTAACCTCTGTTAACCTTAGTTTCTTCAACTGTAAAAAGAGAATAATAATAGTACCTACCTTCCAGTGTTGTTGTGAAGATAAAATGAGAGAATATTTGTAAAGTGTTTGGCACTTAGCTCATTACCTTCCTATTAAAATAAGGAACTGCAAAAAATTTGGTGGACACCATCTGCTGCACCCATCGCACTGTACCTAGTTGACAACAACAACCTCTCCTTTTTCTCATTCTCCTTAAGGCTTCTAGTCATTGTGAAAATCTTCCCCCTCTCACCCTCACTGTGCAAGGGCTAATCTCAAGTGAGTTTTTTCTCTTCTCATACTGAGAATTACAAATCCCTAAAGATCTGTTCAGTTATCTACTGGGAAATGGCTATTAGTCTATATATCTATATCTATATATGTATGTATATATGTATACTATGTGTATATATATGTATGTGTATGTATGTAGTTTGTTTATCTTGGATACAGGCCCTTATCAAAGAAATTTGATACAAACTTATCATAGGTACATCAATTTTGTTTGTTCAGAAGCTTTTTAGTTTCATGTAATCAGTTATCTATTTTATCTTTTCTAATTGCCTCTATCCCTAATTTGGTTAAGAATATATCTTATAGGCAGTTTAATAACTTTTGGGACATAATTCCATGTTGTTCTCCAAAATGATTGGATCAGTTCACAATTCCACCAACAGTGAATTAGTGTTCCAGTTTTCCCACATCTCCTCCAACATTTGTTGCTTTCCCCTTCAATCATTTTAACCAGTCTAATAGATGTAAAATTTTATCTCAAGGTTGTTTTAATTTGCATTTTTCTTATCAGTAATGATTTAGACTGAGCATTTTTCATATTACTATAAATTATTTTGATTTCTTTATTGGTAAAGTGCCTGTAACTATCAATACCACTACTAGGTCTATTTCCAAAGATGATTAAGGAAAAAGGAAAAGAACCTGTATGTTCTGAAATATTTATAGCAGCTCTCTTTATGGTGGCAAAGAATTGGAAATTGTGGGGATGTCTGTCAATTGGGGAGTGGCTGAATGAGTTGTGGTATGTGATTGTGATGGAATACTACTATGCTGTAAGAAATGATGAGTTCATTGATTTTAGAAAAATATGAATAGACTTACATGAAATAATAAAGAGCAAAATGAGCGGAGCCTCAAGAGAACATTGTATACAGTAATAGCAATATTATTTTAAGAACAACTTTGAGGGGCATCTAGGTGGCACAGTGGATAGAGCACCGGCCCTGGATTCAGGAGGACCTGAGTTCAAATCCAGCCTCAGACACATAACACTTACTAGCTGTGTAACCCTGCACAAGTCACTTAACCTCTCTCTGCCTTGGTTTTCTCATCTTTAAAATGAGGATAATCAAAGCACCTACCTCATAGGGTTGTTGTGAGGCTCAGATAAGTTAATGTATATAAAACACTATATGAATGCTTGCTATTATTATTATACACCTAGAAAGGGGCATCTAGTTGATGAAGGAGGTCATTCCTGCCACATGAGGCTCATTGGAAGGGACTGAGTATGTTGTCAAGCATAACATGTCAAGCATGTTGAAGAGAAGATTTAAGGGGAGCACAGTTGCCTTCAAATACTTGAAATACTGTCATATGGAGAACAGAATTCCCCCTTCTGGTCCCAGAGAGCACAAGTTGGACAACTTGGGAAAGCTGCAGAAAGGCATATTTAGGCCTCCCAAAATAAATATTTTAATTATTGCTGTAACAGGGTTGAAAAGATGGGCAAAATGTCCCTTCCTGATTCCAGTTAAAGGGCTTTCTAAAAGTGAGATGGGGATATTTGTATCAGGAAGTGGTGAATTCATCATTATATGGTCTTTTATCCAGAGGCAGGCTACTTATCAGGTTTCATGCTATGGTTAGGAGTGGAATTACATGACCAATGAGGGATCTTTCAATTCTGAGTTTCTGTTGTAAAATATTGAAGACTGTTGGATGAATCCTTTATGTAGGATTTATGGAAAAATGCATAAAAATAACACAGGATGAAAAGGTGTGGAAGGGCTACAATTTGCAGTGGTAGAAGGAGTACCCACATTAATGATATAATGGGTCCATTGTGTTTCTGTAGCCATATTGTCACTTTCATTCTTGGTTACCCTGTACATTTTTATTCTTGAGGTTGGTCTTCAGTAAGAACAGTGGGCCTGGGTCTGCTCTATCCCTTACTAACCCTTAGTACTCCAATGACCCTAGTCTAGATGTGCTTTCTTTTTATCTTTCCAGATGCCTTGATGGAGGTTTGGGTAGTTTTCCAACAGAAGTGGATTTTTCTGAATAAAGTTATCTATGAGATGAAGATCAGCTTCCCTAGCCCAGAACTGGTGAGAATGTGGGGTGGGTATGTTGTAGAACAAATGAGGAGAGGAACACTGGGTAGAGGTTATTTAACTGGTGTCTTCTCTGCTTCCTCTGCCTCATTTCCTTACAACCTTTTTCAATCTTCCTACCTCTTCCTTCCATAGAGTAAAAGGTTCAAAGTGGTAGACTCTCAATATCGAGAACTCATGCAGATCTCCATGGAGGACCCTTTGGTGCTATCCCTTATGGTGCCTAGCAGTTCAAGAAATTCCAATTTCCAAGGCCAACAGCTGCAAAAGCTTTTAGAGGCAGGCAGTCTAGAACTGGAGCGTGTCATCACAGCCCTAGAAGCAGTGCTCTATGGGGTCCGCTCTCACTTCCCTCGTCTCTTTTTCCTCAGTGACAGGGAAGTAGTAGCCCTGATGTCAGCCACTCGGGATGTAGCTGAGGCCCGGCTGTGGGCACAACGCTGCTTCCCCCATGTTCAAGGTGTGGTATTTGGGCCGTGTTGCACCTCAGGACCCCGTGCTGTGGAGGTCAAACAAGAGGCACAGTCAATCCTAGGCACATATGGGGAGGTATTGACCTTACGTTCCCCACTGCTCCTACAACATGATGTCCCCAAATGGCTAACCTGCCTTGAACAATGGATACGTTCAGCTTTGGTACATGGGCTGTCAGAATGTGTGGCTGCTCGCTTGGCCCTACATCCTTCCTTGGACCATGTCTTTGAGCAACCCCCAGATCCTGGGCAGCCCCCCCTGTATCTTCATGGCCATCATTGGCTAGAGTTAGCTCAGGCCTTCCCAGTCCAGTGCGTGCTCGTAGCTGAGGAGGTAGCCTGGAGGACTCAGGTGGAGGAGATACTGCTGGATCAAAGGACCCATCTTCTTAGTCTCATGCAGCTCCGAAGGCTGGAGGCCCTAGCCCACTTTGCCCGTGAGCAACGGAGCACCCACATTGGGCACCCCCCTGCCTCTCCTCGACTGTCCCTCCTGCTGAGCCTGTTGCTTACAGGGGCTGTAGCCCACCGGGACACAGCATTACTTCTGCAGCAGCAACAGGTCAGTGAGTTTGAAGATTTCCACTGGGCCCGCCAGTTGAAGTACTACTTGGGCCCTCGAAACAAGAGCCAAAGCCCAGATTTTTCCAACAAGTCACTGCAAGTTTGCTCATCCCACAAAAGCAAGCCCACATGTTGGCTGGAAGTACTGGGACAGCCCTTCCTATATAACTATGAGTACGTGGGCCCTGGCCAGAGACGAGTAGCCAACCTACTGCTTGAACGGCCTGCTCTGGGGCTGCTGTTGGCTCTGAAGGAGGTGGCCTGTGGGACCCTACTAGGCCCTATTGGTGTGGGCAAGAGTGCCTTAGTGGCCAGGCTGGCCTCTGCCCTAGGCCGCCAGCTGGTGACACTTCACTGTGTAATGCACATAGAGGCCCGCTGCCTGAGTTCCTACCTGACTGGAGCCCTGCAGAGTGGTGCCTGGCTCCTGCTAAAAGCTGCATGCTCTCTGCCAGTTGGCCTGCTCTCTGCTCTGGGCCAGCGCCTGGATGATCTGCGCCATCTCTATATGCCTCTGCTACAGGGAGCTCAAGACATTTCTGAGGTGGATCCCATGCTGCCCCAGGTCCTAGGCAACAGCTTCTTTGAAAATCATCGAGTTCATGTGCGCGTTGGCTATGGATGCTTCTTAACACTCACCCACCTGAGCTCCACATTACCTACCAACTTGCGCTTCCTGCTTCGCCCTATGGCCATGGCATTGCCAGATCTACAGCACTTGACTGAAATAACCCTGGTGGGTGCTGGCCTCCGGGATGCTGTACACCTGGCATCTCGTCTGGCCACATTCTTCTCCTTGGAGCAGGATCTAGAACCTGGGATGCAGCCCTGCCGCCTCCCACTACTTATACAGGTGCTTGAGACTACCCTACAATTCTTGGAAACTCCCAAGGATAAAGAGGGCCCTCTACTTCCTCAAACTCTAGGTGCTGCAGAAGAGGCTGCACTGCTTCATGCCCTACTCCACTCACCCCTGTTCAGTGGTCCTGAGCGGCCCCGTCTCCATATGCTGCGCCAGCTACTCTCTGGCATCTTCTCAGGGGCAGGCAATGTACTGGCCACACCATGGACCATGACACCACCAAAACTGGCAGATGAATTACGGCAGATTGGCCTATATGTTGGTTCTGATTTCCTGGCCTCTCTGGAGCAGTTGAGCGAGGCTTTGAGGCAAATGTTTGGGATCCTGCTCATAGGTCCACCTGGCAGTGGCAAGAGCACATGCTGGCAGAGCCTGGCTAAGGTCTGGAACCAGCTGGTATCCAGGCACAAAGCCTGCAGAAATATTAGGCCTGTGTATATCACCTCCCTATATCCCTGCAGCCTCAGCCCAGAGGAGTTCCTAGGCTGGTTTGAGGGACACTGTTGGAACCCTGGGGTCTTTTCCCAGCAGCTGTGGGCTGGCATAAGCCAACGTGAGAGAAACCCAGAGGGAGTTCAGCACTGGCTGGTCTGTGATGGAGTGCCTAGTGCTTCCTGGTTGGATCCCATTGCCTCCTTGCTGAGTGATGCTGCTAAGCTTAGTCTACCCAATGGCCAACAAATACCTCGGCCACCAGACACCAGGCTCTTGTTAGAGGTGGTAAACACAGCTGGTATATCTCCTTTTGTAGTAGGAAGCTGTGCACTGGTGTGGTGTGGAGGGCATCAGACATGGCAGGCTATGCTTGCAACTCTAATGACAGAACTGTCTCGAGAGTACTATCTGCTCCCCCAAACCATGGTTGAGTTGCAACATCTAGCAGATAGCCTAGTGCCCACAGTGCTTCACTTCCTAAACCGCCAGGGTGCCAACTCTGTGCTCCATGTCCATGGACAGCCAACATCCAGCCCAGGTGTGGCAGAGATCAACAGCATGACCCACCTCCTTCGAGGGCTACTTAACCCCTACCTGCACTACACCAAAGAGGAGCAATATCATATCATCGGTGAGGAGGGGTGGAGAAGAAGAAAGGAAAGGGGAGGTAGCAGGATAGACTTGGCATGAGGGAAGAAAAGGCAGAAGGGGGGAAGGAAAGAGCCCAGGGTATGACAAAGAAAGGGAGGAAGAGGAATGGAACAAATACAGTTGGAGAAGAGGGATAAGGGGAGAAGGTTAGAGTGCTAATTGGAGATAAATAGCATAGGGTCAGGGATAGGAAGATGTCCTAGAACCCAGGACAGAGGGGGTTGATGACAGGACCTGACAAGAGGGAGCTCTTGGGGTAAGAGGCTTCCTTTTTTTCATCTCTTTTCCTCCCTTCTCTCCTCCCATCTGGTTCCGCCTCTCTTCCCCACTTCCAGAGAACACGAGCCATTCAAGTTCAATGGTCCAAGACTCTGAGGGTACTCAGGGCAGCAGCTCAGCTGAGGGACTCCAGCAAGATGTGGAAGGAGACAGAAAGTGTCAAAATCATTCGCTGGCCATCAGTAGCTTCCTCTTGGCCTTTATTTGGGGCTTTGGATCCCACCTCCCATCCAGGTACCTACGAGGAAACTCCACAATGTTGGATCCCATTGGGGATCCCTGGGGGCCATCTTCTGGTCTTTAGGGAAGCAGGGCAATGCCAGACTTGGCAAATAGTTATTTCTGTGTGTGAAAGAAAGACTGTGTGTGTGACAATTTCTGTGTGAGAGACTTTGTGTATATGTAACTAGTAGTGACTATGAGCATTCAGCACATCGACTCCAGAGTCCGCATAAGAATTCTGTTGGAATATGTCTCCCTCTTTTTATTCATACAGGCTTTGGCCTACCTTTGACAACTTTGTTAGAGGAATTTTGAAGCATCACCCTGTACGTATTGAGCTGCCCACTTCAGCCTCTGTGTTTGACTTACATCTTTGCCCTGAGGATGGATCCTTGGTCCCCTTCACAGGCCTTTACTTGAGCAACCGGATCAAGGGACTTGCTCCTTTGAGCACCTTCAACCTCTCACCCCAGGTATGGTTGATAGGTGGAGAGGAAAGAAAGTGATGTGGGAAGTGAGCAGTCTGGAATTGGCTTTCTATGCCATGTGAATGTCTAGAGCTGATACTCCACTTCCTGCTCACAGGCAGAGCGAATACTATATGTGATGGATCTACTCTTGGCTGTGGGGTATCCTGTGTTGCTGACTGGAGAGGTTGGCTCTGGAAAGTCTGCCTTTGTTGAAGTCCTAGTGGAGCCCAACCACCCATGCTTGCATATCCCGATCCACTTAGCTCTCACCACAACTCATCTACGAAACCTTCTGAGTCAAGAGATCCAGAGGCAGAGCCAGGTTTGGCCAGGGAAAATCATCCCCTCTAAGGGCTCTTTACTTTTCCTGCTGGAGGACTTGCACATGGCAGCAGCTGGTGAGGGTCCAGAACTCGGGGATGGGATTGAACAGATGTCACAGGTTCCAAAAACAAAGAGCTCCTGAGATAAGAACCACTACCTAGGGGAGTAGGATGCTTTTTCCTTCTGTCACTATTACCTTGGGACTTCCTGGGTCTGACCTGCCTTCCACCTCTGTTTGCTTTTTGTAACTTCCGTAGTGAGTTATTAGCACATCATACCTTCCTAGGAGATTGGTGGGTCCTGCCCCTTCCCTCCTCCATTTCTGCATAACCATTAAACGAGGTGAAATTCCAACTAGCCTCATGCACACTCCCACAACTATTAGATCCATCACCAGGCCAAAAGTTCTTGATGTGTCACAATTTACAGTTCTTTTTCTAGGGTCCCTCTGGCTAGGTTGTCCATTTGCCCCTTGATTCCTCAGTTCTCTTTGATTGTATTTCTTTCTTTTTTCTTTTTTTCATTAATTTATTTTCAGTTTTCAACAATCACTTCCATAAGCTTTTGAGTTTAAAATTTTCTCCCCCTCCATCCCCAAAATGACATGCAATCTGATATAGGCTCTACATATACATTCCTATTAAACATATTTTCACCTTAGTCTTGTAAGGAAGAATTAGAACCAATAGGAGGAACCACAAGAAAGAGGAAACAAAACAAAACAGAAGGAAAAAAATGAGCAAATCGTATGCTTCGATCTGCATTCAAACTCCCTAATTCTTTCTCTGGATGTGGATAGCATTTTCCATCGTGAGACTTTTAGAGATGTCTTAGATCCTTGCAATGCTGAGAAGGGCTAAGTCTGTCAAAGTCAGTCATCACACAATGTGGCTATTACTGTGTACAGTGTTCTCCTGGTTCTGCTCACTTCACTCAGCATCAGTCCATACAAGTCTTTCCAAGTTTTTCTGAAAATCTACCTGCTCATCATTTCTTTTTTTTAAAAAATTTATTTTGATTTATCAACAATCACTTCCATATGCTTTTGACTTTAAAATTTTTCTCCCCCTTCCTCCCCACCACCTTCCTAAGATGGTGCACAATCTGATATAGGCTATACATATATATTCCTATTAAACATATTTTCACATTAGTGATGTTGTAAGTAAGAATTAGAACCAATAGGAGGAACCACCAGAAAGAGGAAACAAAACAAAACAGAAGAAAAAGAATAGCAAATAGTATGCTTCGATCTCCATTCAAACCCCATAGTTCTTTCTTTGGATGTGGATAGCATTTTCCATCATGAGGCCTTTGGTGATACCTTAGATCCTTGTATTGCTGGGAAGGGTTAAGTTTATCAATATTAGTTATCGCACAATGTGGCTGTTATTGTGTACAATATTTTCTTGGTTCTGCTCACTTCACTCAGCATCAGACCATACAAGTCTTTCCAGGTTTTTCTGAAGTCCTCCTGCTCATCATTTCTTATAGCACAATAGTATTCCCTTATATTCATATACCACAAATTGTTCAGCCATTCCCCAATTGATGGGCATTCCCTCAATTTCCAATTCTTTGCCACCACAGAAAGAGCTGCTATAAATATTTTTGTACATGTGGGTCTTTTTTCCATTTGTATTATGGCTTTGGGATACAGCCCTAGAAGTGCTATTGCTGGGTCAAAGGGTATGCACATTTTTACAGCCCTTTGGGCATAATTACAAATTGCTCTCCACAATGGTTGGATCATTTCACAACTCCACTAACAATGCATTAGTGTTGCAATTTCCCCACATCTCCAGCATTTATCATTTTCCTGTTTTGTCATGTTGGCCAATCTGATAAGTGTGATGTGGTACCTCAGAGTTGTTTTGATTTGTATTTCTCTAATCAATAGTGATTTAGAGCATTTTTTCATATGACTATAAATGACTTTAATTTCCTCATCTGAAAACTGCCTGTTCATATGCTTTGACCATTTGTCAATTGGGGAATGACTTGTATTCTTATAAATTTGACTTAGTTCTCTATATATTTTAGAAATGAGGCCCTTATCAGAGATAATGGTTGTAAAAATTCTTTCCCAGTTTTTTGCTTCTCTCCTAATCTTGGTTGCATTGACTTTGTTTGTGCAAAAACTTTTCAATTTAATGTAATCAAAATTATCCATTTTGTATTTTATAATGTTCTCTATCTCCTGTTTGGTCATGAATCCTTCTGTTCTCCATAAATCTGACAGATGAACTATTCCTTGCTCTCCCAGTTTGCTTATAGAATCAGCCTTTATAACTAAATCATGGACCCATTTTGGTTTTATTTTGGTATATGTTATAAGATTTTGGTCTATGCCTAGTTTCTGCCATACTCTTTTCTAGTTTTCCTGGCAGTTTTTGTCAAAGAGTGAGTTCTTATCCCAAAAGCTGGGGTCTTTGGGTTTATCAAATAGTAGATTACTGTAGTCATTGACTACTGTGTCTTGCATACCTAACCTATTCTACTGATCCACCACTCTGTTTCTTAGCCAGTACCAAGTAGTTTTGATGATTGCTGCTTTATAATACAATTTGAGATCTGGAACAGCTAGGCCACCTTCCCCTGCATTTCTTTTCATTAGTTCCCTTGATATTCTGGACATTTGTTATTCCATATGAATCTTATTTTTTTTCTAGCTCTATAAAATAATTTTTGGTAGTTTGATTGGTATGGCACTGAATAAGTAAATTAGCTTAGGTCATTTTTATTATATTAGCTTGGCCTACCCATGAACAACTGATGTTTTTCTGATTACATTTCTAATAATCATTTTATGTTCCATTTTCAAGTTTCCCCTGACCATCAGATTGGGCTGCACTCTGACTTTGCAGCTTCCTGGCCCATATGGATTTTCCTTGATCTCTGGCACTCTGGATAAGGAAGATATTTTCTTACTTGGCTTCCAGACTTTTGACCTGCATTTCAGGCTATCTGGTATTGACCTTATAGTCTATTCCCTTATCCTCCCTAGAGGTTTCACTGCCCCTGGTTCTACTACTGTCTTCACACTTGACCCATTCTTCTCTGTTCTGAAGAGTGTTCACTAGGGAGTTCTAAGTGGCCCAAATAGAAGAGACCACTATCCCCTGCTGGTTCCAACAACAACAGTAATAACTAGAATGTATATAGTACTTTAAGGTTTGCAAAGCACTTTACAAATATCTCATTTTATATTCAAAATGACACTGGGAGGAAGGTGCTGTTATTATCTCCACTTTACAGATGAGCAAATTGAGACAGGCAGAAGTTAAGTGACTTGCCCAGGAACACACAGCTAAGTAAGTGTCAGAGACTGGATTTGAACTCAGGTCATCTTGACTCCAAGTCTAGCCTTCCCAGGTTCCTCTTCTGTCTGAAGCAGCTCCACTAGATCTTATAACTATAGAACCTTCTCTGAATTGGAAGGGACATCAGAGTATATCTAATCTAACATACCTTCCAGGCCTCTGGACCATACAGAGGCACACTGATTTCCCTGTTGTATCTCCTACTGACACCATGTACTTAATCCACAGCTCTTCCCTAACACACTCCCTAAATTCCACACCACACACTCAACATCTCCTACATTTTTCATTCTCTAGCCATCATTTCATGTCACACTTCTCCTTTCCCTAATCTATATCCTCTCCCTATATACTTCTGAAATGAGGATTGAGATCCCAGGTGTAAAAGATAAAAGGGTAGACTATCCCATACCTGGAAAGTCAGGGGCTCAGAGGGGATTTTGTTCAGTGCTCACCATGGAGAAAGGACTGATGCTATTACCAAAGGTAATTTATGAAATTGCCATGTAACTGACTCCCCCCCCCCCCCCACTACCCAGGTTCCTCTCCACTCAATCTAGGGGTTAAAATGTAAATAGTCATTCACACACAATATTTATAAAACTATCATAAATTAGGTACATTATTTATTATCTCCAAAAATATATCTTATACTTCATTTCCCAGTAAGATTATTATCTCTTTCCACTCTTTTTTTTTTTTTTTTTTGCTTGGGGTTAAGTGACTTACCTAGCGTCACCACAGCTAGTAAGTGTTAAGTGTCTGAGGCTGGATTTGGACTCAGGTCCTCCTGACTCCAAGGCCAGAGCTCTATTCACTGCGCCACCTAGCTGCCTCTTTCCACTCTTAAAGTGACCAAAAAGTACACATGTTCACATTCTAATCTAGAATTTCCACTCAGCTCTCAGCTCTGTAGGACCATTGCCCAGCCATTTTCTGCCCTACTCCCAGGCAAATACCCCTTCTGCTAACAACTCTTTCCACCTCAAATGAAGGGAAAGGGAGTAATGATTGACTGCCCTGGTTTTCTGCTCCCTGTTTCAAGTGATCTCCCACACGAAAACACTCTGCCTTCACTGGCCACCACTACTTTATGTGTATTGTCTCGCTCTATTAGAAAGTGAGTTCTTTGCTTTTGTATTTGTATTCTCTGTGTTTAGCACAGTGTTTGGTCCGTAGTAAACACTTAACTACTTTTCCATTCATTTATCCTGAAAACAATTATAATGAAAAAGGTACAGTTATAAAACCCCATGTGATACCATACCATTCAAGTAGAGTCAGCTATCTCAGTGACCATCACCTACTGCTACCCTGTTACTGTTAATAACATTGATGCATATATCATTCTCAAGAGAACAAAGTTCCTAAAAGCCTTTAGCAGAGGAACTCTATTGTTAAGTCTCCCTTACCCCCAATATCACAATCATAGAGTAGTGGAATATTGCTTTTTACCTCTGAAGCAGTTTACTAGAGGATTCAGGATCAAAAGCTATCTTGATTTTCTCCCAAAGTTGGTCACTACCATTCTTTCCCTTGCAAATCTCTGCTTAATACCCTGCTGGGCCATCTCTACCATTTTCTTTGCTTGTGCTCTGACATGTAGTCTGTGATAGGATGTTGAAATCAGAGAGAAGGAAGTAAAGGAAAGAGAGTACATCTACTGTCCTTGCAGACTCCTCTTTCCAATCCCCCAACTGCTTCAAAATTGGTCATTTTATCATATGATGCTGCATGATTTGGAGTCGCAGGGCAGTCAGCTGTTTTTAAAAGTCCACTCAGCACAATAAATGAGATTCTCATTGCCTCTAGGGCACCAGGTCCAGGTATGAACCAGAGGAATGCAAAGGAAAGATGCTACTTTGTATGAGAGAGATACACATCCTTAACCCATAAACCTGATGGACTCTCATCTTTCCCATATTACACACCACTGCTCAAATCCCTCTTCCCAGACTTTATACACCATTCCTACCATTCTTCTTGGTGAATTGTGGGTACCTGGGGTTGCCAGAGAGTTTGTCCTACAAAAGGCCTGTCTCTTTTCTCTCCCTGTTGCCTGCAGACCCCACAAGGAAATGTCAGCCTGTGCTGGAGACACTACGTCAGGTCCTGAGTCAGAACACATTGTATGCCAATAACACACTGGAGCTGCAGGCAGTGCCTAGCACTTTCAACTGGCTAGCCACAGCCACAGCCTCCTGCTGCTCTGAGCTGCCCTTGTGCTCACGCTTCACCTGGCTCTTCACAGTGCTGTTGCTAGGCAATGTAAGCCGGATGACCATTTTATCCAGGCACTGTGCAGGGGTCCAAGCTTGGCTTGAGCGCTTCCCCTCCCTGGAGAGGGAGGAGGTCATGGCAAGGGCACTGGTCACTGCCACAGTGGATGCCTGGGAGGAAATGCGGACCCACTTCCCCCCATCCCCATGCCAGCCTCACTACCGCTTCTCCCCACATACTATAGAACGTCTGCTCAACAGCCTACAGCTGTTGCACCCTCAACCTCTAGTGTTCTTTTCTGAGCCACAGAGTCGGGTAGAGCAGCTGTGTCGCATGTCAGGCCTCCGGGGTGACCGCTTGGCCACTTTGGTGGCCATCAGGACCATAGCCCACCTCTGGCTGCATGAGGCCCAACGCACCTTCTCTGACCGCCTCATTACAGCCACAGAACAGGAACGCTGTGTCCAGATGCTGCTGGCTGTGGTGACCAGTGCTTTTAGTACAAGTGCCAGTTACAAGAGCATTTTGGAACCTGGGGAGGTGAAGGAGGAGGAGGAAAAGAAACTGGTGCCTGAGGTAGAATCTGAGGAGGAGTTGGCCCAGTGGGAAGACCACAGCAGCAGCGGAAGTGAAGAGGAGGGTGAACCAGGGACTAGAGACCTGCTGGCCTTGACTGTGACTTGGCCTCCACTGGGCCCTGGGCCCAAATTCCTGGGCTTGACATCTTATCCAGCACTACAACATGACAAGGCCTCTGCCTCAGACATCTCTGTGAGTCTGAACCATGATAACATCTCCTCTCCAAACCTAGAGAAAAAATCTAGGATCCGTCGTCCGAAAGCTTCTCACCTGAACTTCTTGGCCCCGCTGCTGCTACCTGCTCTGCTACTGCTGCCCCAGGAACAGGCCTCTGAGCTGCTCTTCACACAGGAACTGTCACTGGTGCCCATTGCCGAGGAACCTAGACACTACCTGAAGCAGACCTGGGAGGTGTTGGAGAAGAAGCTGGCAGAAGTGCTGCCAGAGTTGGGCCCAGGGCCCCGCCTTTCCTTGTGTCACCCCTTTGCTCAGCATGTGGTCCGCTTGGCCCGGGTGCTGGCCGGTCCACATCAGCATGGAGTTCTGCTATCTCACACCAGGGGGACAGGGCGACGAACTGCACTGCACCTAGCTGCCCGACTTAGCCAGGCTGTCCTCTTTGAGCTACCCCTGGAGTCTGAGGAGGCAATGCTGCAGTGCCTCAAGAAAGCCAGCTGGCATGCAGGGTTCCTTGGCAAGCCAGCAGCCCTGATGGTGCCGGGCAGTGCAGGTTCCTCCACTTTGAACCTCCTCTTAGGCCTTGTACAAGAAGGGTACTTGCCTGGCCTGTTCTTAGATGAGGAGCTGAAAACCATTACCGAGCAGCTGCCCGTGGAGAATACAGCTGTCAAGATTGGCTCCCAGAAGGAGGGGGTGCTGCAGAGGTGTGGTGATGCAGGCTACTCCAGAGGGGGACTGTGGGGGGGCTGGCCCTGGGAATGGAGGAGGAGGAATCTCTACTGACATGTAGTAGAAGCTTGCCATTTAGGAAAGGCATGTTCTCTGAATTCAGAAACTTCTTCTTTTTGTTGGAGGGTGGGGAGAGAAAGGGCTATAGGGGGCTGCAGAGGGTTGAGATTGGGTTGCTCAGGGGATTAAGTGGCCACCCATCAATCTCCTGCCTATAGGTTCTACCAACTGGTGTGCCAAAACCTCCATCTATTCATCCTGATGTCTGATAGTTCCAGACCTCCCCAGATCCGCCCCACCACCTTCCTGGCTCTCCTCGATCTTACTTGCACCAGCATCGACTACTATGAGCCCTGGAACCAGACTACCCTGATCAGCCTGGCCCAGCGTTACCTAGACGGTGTCTTTAACAGAAGCCTAGAACTTGGTAGGCCTGCCTCACCTCACCCCTCCTCATCTCCCCTCCCCACCCCAGCCTTGGTGAAGCTTCTCCTCTTTGCCCAAGTCCTGATAAAGCACCTCCTTTCTTCCGTCTCCTGATGAGACTTCCCTTCCCCTCCTCACCAAGCCCTAGTGAAGCACCTCCTTCCTTTCATCTCTGCCTCTTCCCTTCGTTCCCCCTTTTTGATGCTCAGTTCCTTTCCCTGTTCCCCTTTTCTTCTCTACTTTCTCACATTCAAAGGCTGGATTTCTTGCAGACTATCCCCGGCTCCCAACTCTGCATGCCTCTGTTGCCAATATGGCCAAAGTTATGGCTCTGATCCACCTGTCAGCCTCCAAATACTATCAGCTCCTCTGTCCGCTGCTGCCCTTAGCCACTCCCAAGACGTTCCTGGACTTCTTGGATACCTTCTTGCTGCTGTACTTCCACCTATCAAATCGCACCCAGAACAAGATCCAGCGGTGGGATCCTGTGCCCCTCTTCATACTCTCTCCAGATTTCCTATCCCCTGTCACCCACCCCTCTCACATCACCCCTAAGCCCATGCCTTGCCCTGTCCAACTGAGGGAATACATAGGCTCCCTTCCTGCTCTTGCCCATTTTCCAAACACCCTTTCCTGCAACCCCCGGCATCTTTTCTCAGGATTCAGACAGCCCTAGGGAAACTGACCACAGTGATAGAGGAGAACAATGCCCACAACCGCTTGGTGGAGAGCCTGGAGCGCCAGCTGCAATGTGCCCATGAGGTATGAATGGTGAGGGGATGATCCAATCCATATCAAATGTGGTGAATCAGGATGTAAGGCAGTTTTGTCAAGGGTGTGAGCAGCATCAGAAGATGATGCTAGGTTGGATTAGGAGAACTGCTGAGGTGTTGGAAGTGTTGGTAATCATAACAAAAAAGAACTGCCTTCTTACTAGAGAGCTGACAATCAAAATAGCTAGTAATGGGGTTCAGGCAAATGTATGTCAGGAAATTGAAGTCATTGCTGATAATTATCCCCTGAGATAATTACTGGTGGGGAGAAAGATCTGTGTCCAGAGCCCACTGATGCTTTTGATTATTGGAAAGATTGGTCAATAGATCTATTGGGAGAGCCATTCTTAGCAGCGCTGATGCATGATGCCTCTGGCATTGTCAAGAGGATGGTCCTCTTTCCCCTCGCACTTGGGGCATCCAGATTGGATAGGAAGAAGGTGAGTTTGTTGTGGTTCCCTCCTATGGGAATCAATCATAAAATTTTAGTCCTGTCTTCATCCTAGGAGATTAGAGAGCATGGTGAGAAATTGAACCACTTGTCTGTTTTAGTCTGTGGATTTCAGGAAAGAACTAAAAATTATCCTGTGCAAGAGCATCACTTTGGGAAGCTACCTAGAGAATGATGGAGTCCAGGTTTCCTGGGTGGCCTTCCCTGAGAGTTTATTTTGAAGCATTTTCTTCACTCTTGGTAGATAGAAAAATAGTTGATAATGGCATATGCATCAATCAGCCTTGAGGTTTTGACCAATTAACACAGATTGTTGGTGGGCCAGGCCAACAGATAGAAGAGCTGTGATGGCCCATTTCTTCTAGTCTTATTCACATGACTATTCCAGCCCTTTGAAACTGCTTCCTCCTCTTCTATCTCTATTCACATTGCCTAGGGAGAAGGAAAAGATATAAGTATTTTGAGGATATTAACTAAACTTAATTTTAAAAAAATTAACAGTGGGGCAGCTAGGTGGCTCAGTGGATAGAGCACCTGCCCTGGAGTCAGGAGGACCTGCGTTCAAATCTGACCTCAGACACATAACATTTAACTAGCTGTGTGACTCTGGGTAAGTCATTTAATCCCAGTTGCCTCACAAAAAAAAAAAAGCCTATTTTAGGGGCAGCTAGGTTGTGCAGTGGATAGAGCACTGGCCCTAGAGTCAGGAGGATGAGAATTCAAATCTGGCCTCAGACACTTGACACTTATTAGCTGTGTGATCCTGGGCAAGTCACTTAACTCCATTGCCTAGCAAACAAAACAAAATTAACAACCAAATTTAACTTTTAAAATACAAACTTTACAAAGAACTCCTTGCTAAAAAAACGACAACAATAATCCTTCACCTTACCTTAATACATAGAACAACGATTTCAGCCTTAACTTGTTGGCTAAAATGTGTCTCTCCCACTGGACCTTAATACCTTCAAATGGCACTTTCCTGTGAAGGTCCCTGGTTGCAGTTTAAGGACTGGTAACCTTTTAATTTTAATTTTATTTTCAGTTAACAAGCATTATGCCCTGTTAGATGGCATAGTTCTCAGGGAAGAGCACTTACAATGTGCCAGGAACTGTGTTAAATGCTGAGGATACAAAGAAAAGCAAAAAACTCCCTGTTCCCAAGGAGCTTCCAGTCTAATGAGGACACCTCAGGGATTAGCAGCCGGGGTGAGGAACCTGTAGCCTCAAGGCCACATGTGGCCTTCTAGGTTCTTCACAGAACAAATCCCTTAATAAAAGGATTTGTTCTGTAAAACTCAGACTCAGCCAGAAGGTCACACCCAAGGACCTAGAAGGCCATATGTGGCCTCGAGGCCTCAGGTTCCCCACCCCTGTATTAGCCTGTGGAGTGGAGTATTGGATATAGGGAGTGTCAGACATGAGAAGTAATGGTAGTAGGGGTATTCCCAGGTATGCAGTGTGGAGCTGCATAGGAAACTGAGCCTGCGTTTAGTGGTGATAGGGGAAGGAGGGTCACAATGAGGTAGTTGTTACTCTCCTAGCCCATGAGATTTATGCTTCAGGAAATGTGATCTTTAAGGGCCATGACAACTAAAATCTTTGTATTATAGGAGTATATTATTCTATCCCCACACTATTGCCTGAGTAATTGGCTAGGTTGTACCTTCTCCTTCTGACCTTCCTCTACCTATGGGGCTGGGACTGCTGGGAGGTAGAATTGGGGAGGGCCTGGCTTCTCTGTCTACAGGAGCTTGTTACCTGCCAGAAGCAGCTGGAGGTAGACCGCATCCAGTACCTTCAGTACCTGTCAGATTGTCAACAACAGGAAATACTCATCAGCAATCTTACCAAGCAGAGAGACGCATTGCAGAGTCAGGAGGAGTCACTGACTGAAGAGGTTATCCCCTGCCCCTTCCCTCTTTCCACCCCGCCTTTCATCTTCTCCCACCTATCAAACCAAGGTAATACCAGGGTGGACACAGGACCCCTCATTGAGCCCTAGAGGAAGTGACTCCTCAAAAAAAAATCCTAACCCAGTCTTGGGCTGCCTGGGCTCTCTCTATCCTCACTTGTTCCAGATTTGCTAGAGGTTAGTGATACCTTTCTCTCTTCCATTGCTACCAGTCCCTGCTCGGCCTTTAGGGATTCTGGATCTTACTTAAGTTTACCCCTTTCCTCTCTCTCAGTTCAGCCAAGAAGGGTTTTACTAAAAGATTTAAATAGTGAGTAGGCATATGGGATGAAAAGAACCCTGGATTTATAGTCAAAAGGACTGGGTTCTAGTTCTGGCTGATACTTATTAGCTGTGTGCCTTTGGGAAAGTTTTTCAACACACATTTATTAAGTACTTACTATATGCCAGACACTATGCTAAACGCTGAGGATACAAAGAAAAGCAAAAAACAGTTCCTGTTCTCAAGAGGCTTCCAGTCTAATGAGATAAACAACATGCAAATAACTATATATGACCAAGATATATGCAGGAAAAATTGGAAATAGCATCAGAGAGAAGGCATTGCAATTAATCAAGGCTGAGAATGGCTTCTTACAGAAGGTGGGACTTTAGTTGAAACTTAATGGAAGCTAGGGGAGCCGGGAGTCTGACATGAGATGGGAGAAAGTAACAATTTCCTTGAACAAAACTTTGGGAAAGTAACAACCTCCCTAAACTTCAGATCACTATCTGTTTAAAAAAAAAAAAGGAAAAAAAATGCTACTTGCCTGTCCCATGTCTTGGGCTGTATGTTGACTGACTGAATATTCCAAAAAGCATAATAAAAGGGAGTAGCAAGGGGCGCTACCTCAGGAAAACACTTTGTAACCTTTAATATACTATCAAAATGGGAACTGATATTGATGCCTACTAGATAGAAGATAAAATAGAACAAACTGAAAATATAGAATTATTTAGTTGCTTATTAACTCAGGATATCACAAAATCTTAGCATTAGAAGAGACCTCTGAAATCAGGTAGGCCAACCCGCATCTGACCAAGAATTCCCTCCACATTTCCAACAAGTAGTCATTCAGTTTTCTTTGGAATACCTCAAGCGAGGGGGAACCCACTATCTCCAGAGGCAGTCCACTTCCACTTTTGAATAGCTCTAATTTTTTTTTTTTTCCTGACATCAAGTCAAATATGCCTATTTGCAGTTTCAGTCATTGCTCCTAGTCATGAAATGTGCAACATGGCCAAGCAGAACATCTAGTCCCTATTTCACGTGAAAACCCTTCAAATACTTGAAAATAACTAATATTCTTGTTCAAAGATAGCCCTGATTACATCATGAAGATTAACCCAGCTTTCCTGGCTCATTAGTCCCATTCTTCCTGCCTTCTATCTGGCCCTGGTCCCACCATGGAGCCATTAGGCTGCCTCTGGAGAAGATTTGCCTGTGGCCCCCTTAGCAAGATCTCCTGTCCCACATAGAATTTAATGCCCTTTTAGCTCTTCCCATCATCTCCCTAGCTCAGCTCTTTCTGGAGTCGTTATTCCTTCCCATTTGCAAGGCTGAGTTAGACTTACACTGACAGTATTCAGTGAAATGTGTCACATGCATCCCAGCTCCACTTCTGGCTCTGCCTTGCTCAGCAGATTTAATTTGATGAATTCTGGCTTCCATAACTCAAATAGGGAAGCATTTCACCCAAAGGCCCTCACAATGTGACTACAAATGCCCCATTGTAAAGTAATAGCCACATACAAGTTCCACTAGTAAATGGCAAGGAAAGGAGCATCTTGCTGTAATGCTTGACCACAGAGATGTTGGTGACAAAGAGCCAGAAAAGGGGAAGACGGTTACTCATATCAGATATCTGGTGTCAGAGATTCAGAGTTGGGGACTAATAGCCCTCCAAGAAGTTCTATTTAGAGCCCTTTCCACTCTCATCCTTTTGTGGTCCCTTTTCTCAGATGTACCAGGCTGTCCTCATGCCCCTAGCCCAGCTTAAGATGGCTGATATGGAAGAGCTGCGCAGTTACCGGGCTCCACCTGCTTCTGTGGTAATGGTGACTGATGCACTCTGTGCCCTGTTCCACTGCCCCCCAGGATGGGAGAGTGCCAAGCAACTGCTTGGCAAAGAGGGCTTTTTTGAGGTAGGAGGCTTAACTCAAGTGATAAAGGGTTGGGTAGGATGAGGTGACAGGGCAAAATGAAAGTAATAGAGGTGGCTATTGGGGAAACCAGGGTAGGATTATGATTGAGATTATGAGAATTGTAAGGGGGGAGGATTAAGGGAACAGGATGATGGGGAGGTGGTCTTGAATAGAGGAGCATCACAAAGGATGATGGGGCAGGAGTCATATTGAAGGAAGGAGCAGTGATAGGGCTGAGAGGGAAAGAGAGAAGAAAAGGAGAGGCAACAGGAGCTGAAAGAGATAGGAGGAGGGGAGAGGTAATGTGGAAGGATTGAGGTGGGAAGAATTGACAGGGGCTGCGGGATACAGGAGAAGGGGCCAAGTAAACATAGGTAGGGGCTGAGGGGGTGCAGTTGTGACCCTGAACTAGTGTTTCACTCCCTTGTCCTTTGGGGACAGGACCTCGTATTCTTTGACAAAGAGACAGTAGGAGAAGCAGAGCTGCTGAGCCTGAGTCAGATACTGGAAGACCCCAGCATGAATGATGAGGTCCTGCAGCATGGGAGTCAGGCCGCAGCAGGGCTGGCTTCCTGGCTGCGGGCTGTGTTGTGCTTCAGATTGGCACAGCGCAAAGGGGTACCCACATCAGCCCTGCTGAAGCAGGTGGAGAACACACTGCTGCATGAACAGATGCGCATGGGACGCTGCCAAATGCAGGCAAAGAAGCTGCTACAGCAGAACCACATTCTGGCTCTCCAGGTTGAACAGGCTCGGCAGGCTCACAATCTGTTGGCTGAACGGCTCTCTAAGGAAATACAGGGCCAGGAATCAAAGGGACAGATGCATTTTGCCATAGTCACCCACATGAATGACTGGACTGTCCTTATTCAGGTAATCCTCCACCTTCCTCTGTCCCTGTATCATTTGATGAGTCATGCACCCTCACCTATGTAGTATGAATGCGTGCAGTATGTAGTATGCCCAGGGGAACCACCTGCCCTGTTCCTCACTCTGCTCAGCCCAGGGAGTTGTTACTACTTTTGCCCCTGCCCAGACCTAGGAATTTCCTGCCCCCGTCCCAACCTCAGTCCTGGGAACTGTCTACCCTTTGTCTCCACCAAGCCCAAGGACTTAGAAAGACTCCCACCCTGCGAGGAACATCTGAATTCAAATGTCAGCTTAGGTATGTACTGTTGTGAACCAACCACCTAACTTCTCCAAACCTTAGCCTCCCCATCTGTCAAAAGAGAATCATGAGATTTGTAATACCCATTTCATAGGGTTGTTGTGAAGCTATAGAAATATCAGCTGTGATTGGTACTTGTAGTAGAAGTAGTAGTAGTCATAGTAGTAGTAAACAACAAGAATAACATGCTCCAAAAGGCTAGGTAAACTGTCCACTCTTACCTCTCTCTGCCCAAGAAACTTTTTCCCTATCACTTTCCTCCTCCTTTAGCCCTATTTCCTTTTCCCCTTTGTCCCTATTTTTTTCTTCCCTCCTTTCTCCCTCTCTCCCAACATGAGCCCGCTTTTCTCACTTCACCTTCCTTCCATCTCTTCCTTTTCAGAAGCTGAAAGGGAACCATCAGACAATACCTGGAGATGCCCTGCTTTCTGCAGCTGCCATTAACTACCTGGGCCCTTTTCCATCCAGAAGGCGCCAGGAGATCCTTGACAAATGGTTGGCACTATGTTCAGGTCGCCAGGACCATCTGGACCCAGATGATGTGGCCTTGGAACTGGACCGAGAACAGGGCCTACCAAGAGACTTGGAAGACTTCCAGATACCCACCCTAAAACCCTTCAGCCTCTTGTCAGTGCTGAGCTCTGAGACTGAGCAGCACCAGTGGGACCGGGACATGAAGCCTCGTGCAGTGCCTACACGCGTGGCTGCCCTCCTCCTTCGCAGCCCCACTCACAGATCTACTCGACGTTGGCCCCTGATCATCGACCCTGAAGGCCAGGCCTCTCTCTGGCTGCTGCCCCTGAGCCAGCAGGATAATGAAGATATCCTAGAAATGTCCCAGTATCTTGATAGACATGAGAAAGGTATCTGGTTTTCCAGAAAGGATTTCTAGGGCTGCATCTTCCAGGAATCATAGAATCTTAGAATTAGGGTAGCAGAGATAGGGTGCTAAAAGAAGGTACATTATAGCTGGCTACCTTGACCCAGGGCTCTACTCAATTTGTACATGATCACTTCTACTGTTTGAGCTCTTTAGCCTTGAAACTAGGCCCAGTAGTTGTGCCTGTTGGCATGATGATGAGTTAGCTTTTGGTCTGTGGCAAGTGAGCAGGGAGGTTCCAACAGCCTGGAATTCTTTAGGCATTCTCTCTTTTCAGGTTATTGCTTATCAAGCAAGCATTTATTACACACCTACTGTTGTGTCAGGGACTGTGCTAGGCAACAGGGATACAAAGACAAAGGGAAACAGTCCCTGCCCTCAGGAAATTTACATTCTAACTGGGGAAACAATATGTGTATATAGAGACACATATAGAACACATGTATGGGTAGCTACAAACACACATAGAGCAGATACAAAGTGTATTTGGAGGAAGGCACTAAAGGTAGCCAGGGAATCAGGAAAGGCATTGTGTGGAAAGAGGTAATTGAGCTGACCCTTGCAGGAAATCAGGGATTCCAAGAGGGGAAGGTGAGAAGGAAGAGCATTCCAGGCATGGGATACAGCCAGTACAAAGGCACAGAGAGGTGACATAGAGTGTTACATGTGAGTAACTACAGTTAAGCTAATATGGCTGGACCACAGAGTGCATGGATAGGAGTTATGTGTAAAAATGGTGGAAAGATATATTGGGGCCAGGTCATGAAGAGTTTATGATGTCAATCAAAAGATAAACATTAGGGAAACTTAGGCTCTATTTAATAGGTTGAAGGTGACATAAGCAGACTTATGCTTTGGGAAAACCACTTTAGAGTGGAGAGAGACTTAAAGCAGGACTAATTAGAAGGGCATTACAAAAATTCAGGCAAGAACAGATAGGGGCTTGGATGAGTGGAAAGACATGGCAGCTAGGTGGCACAGTAAATAGAGTGCCAGGCCTGGAGTCAAGAAGATCTGAGTTCAAATTCAACCTCAGACACTTCCTGGCTATGTGACCCTGGGCAAGTCTATTTAACGCTGTTTGCCTCAATTTCCTCATCTGTGAAATAAGCCAGAGAAGGAAATAGCAAACCACTCCAGTATATTTGCCAGAAAAACCCCAAATGGGGTTACAAAGAGTTGGACACAACTCAAAATGACTAAACACACACACAATATGTATATGTGTATATATGTGTGAGAGTATATATATACATATATATGTATGCATTGTATATATAGATGTGTGTGTGTGTATATATACATAAATATATAATGTGTCGATAGAAATTATAAGATCAGGCAAGTGCTGGGATATGTGGAGTGAAGGAGAGTGAGGAATAGAGTATAGCACCAAAGTTGCAAGCTTTGGTGACTAGAAGGATAATAGTACCTTTGACAATAACAGAGAGGGATAGAAGAGGATTGGAAGAAGGATGGGTTTGGGAGGAAAGATAATTCTGCTTTGGACATGTTGAATTTGGGATGCCTCTGGGTCATCTAGTTTGAAATGTTCAATAGGCAGGTGGTGATGTGAGACTGGAGCTCAGGAGAGTGATTAGCACAGGATAGTTATCTACATAGAGATTCTTTCCATGGGACCTGATTGCGGTCACCAGGAGAGAGAATGTAGAGAGAGAAGTCCAAAGATAGAGCCTTGGGAAACACCCACAGTTAGTAGAAATGATGTGAATGAAGATCCATCAAAGGAGACTGAGAAGGATTGGTCAAGTCAAATCAGCAAGCATTTATTAAACACCTACTATATTCCAGGCACTGTGCCTGTCATGGAATGATAGGAATGATATGTTCAGATAAAAGAATTTCACAGTTCTTGATCTTCCATTGCCATGGAAGTGGAACATTTGTTGGGGATGGCAAGATCAAGAATGTGACCATCCCTGTGTGTAGCTGAGGTGGAGTGAAGGAGGAGAGCATGAGAGTCTTCTCTCAAGGTAAATTATGTGTGCCTCTGCTCTGACTAGACTTGGAATCTGAACACAGGAGTTTGAATGCCAGCTTTTTCAATCATCTATTTATTGCCAAATCCAGTGCCTTTTTCCCCCTCAGTCTCTAGGCTTTTTGTCCTCAGCTACACAGCTAGGTGGCACAGTGGATAGAGTGCCAGGCCTAGGGTCAGGAAGACCTGAATTCAAATCTGGCCTCAGACACTTACTAGCTAGGTAACCCTAAGCAACTCACTCAACCTGTTTGCCTCAGTTTCCTCATATGTAAAATGAGCTGGAGAAGGAAATGACAAACCATTGCCAAGAAAATCCCAAATGGGGTCATAAAGAGTCAGATACAACTGAAAACAACTGAACCGAACCAAATTGAACATTTGACACTGCTGATCAAACTCTTCTTCTGGATACTGTCTCCTCTCTTGAGTTTTTGTGACCCTTCTTTGTTGTGGTTCTTTTCCTACCTGTCTGACTGTTCCTTCATAGTTTCCATTGCACGTTTATCATGTTTTACTTTCTGTCAATAGGTATACCCTATGCCCTTACTTTCTACTACTCACTCTCTTGGTGGACTAGACTGATAGGTGGTACAGTGCTTGATCTGGAGTCAAGTTCGAATATGGCCTCGGATACTTGCTAGCTGTGTGACCTTAGGCAAGTCACTTAACCTCTGTTTACCTCAGTTTCCTCATCTGCAAAATGGGGAAAATAACAGTAGCTACTTCCAGGGTTGTCATGAAGACAAAATGAGATAATATTTTTAAAGTATTTTATGAACCTTAAAACACTATATAAATGCAAGCTATTATTATTAGTTGTAGTATTCTCATCTGGTCACATGAACTACTATCTCTATGCAGGTGACTCCCAAATCTAAGTACAGAGACTTCTTCTCTCTCTTGAACTCCAGACCCACTTCTCCATTTACCTGCTGGACAGTTCCATCTGGATGTTCCGAAAGTATCTCAAACTCAGCATCTCCAAAATTGAACTCATTATCTTTCTAGTAAGCAAGCAGTCTGCTTTTTTTGTGTCACAGGTCCCTTTGGCAGTCTGGTGAAGCCTGTGGACACCTCAGAATAATGTGCTATTTTTTTTTAATAATTGAAGAAAATGTTAAATTTAAGTTAGAAGTTAGTGTAAATAAGGATTTTTTTCTCTTCCAAGTTCACTGACCCCCTGAAATTTATACATGAGCCTGTTAGGGATCTGTGGACCCCCAGTTAAGAACCTTGCCCTAAGCAACTTCTCCTTAACTATTTCTGTTTAAATCATCATCATCTCTCCCCTTCCCAACTTTGCAATTAAGGAGTTACCCTTGGTTCTTTACTTTCCTTCATTCCACATACTCCCTATAATCAATTGCTAAGCCTTGTTGATTATATCAACTCAACATTTCTCACATCTATCACCTTATCTCTACTCCTACTACAGCCATCCCAGTTTAGGACACAGCACATTTATTTTATCTAATAGCAACTGAGTCCTCACAGCTGCAGAGCATTCCCTTTCTTCTTCTTTAATTGATTCTCTTTCACGCTGCACCTGCTGTTATATATATATATATATATATATATATATATATATATATATATACCTTCTCTCTTAAGCCTCTTATATCATCCTATGCCCTCCTCAGAAGAAAACCTTGCCTCCAGCTTGACTGAGAAAATTGTATTCATTCATCTTGAGCTCTCACTTCTCTACTGTTCAATATCTTGAAACCCCACGACATGCTTGCTCCTCATTTTATTCTCTATTGTTATAGGCTCTTAATGAAACATCCATTCTCCTTACCAAGGACAACCCCTCTACTTGATCCCATCTCTTCTCATTTCTTCCTGGCGCTTGCCCCCTTCTACCATTCTTGCCACCTCCCTCTCCAGTCTGTAATTTCTCTCTATCCACTTGTTCCTTATATCCTTTCTACAAACTGACTTAGGTTTTCCTATCCTTGAGAAAAACTTTCACTTGATCATTTGATCCTGTCTGCCCAAGCTGTTATGTTATATCTCTCTTCTCTTTCACATTTAAACTCCTAGAAAAGGCCATCTATACTCATTTTCTCCATTATCTTTACTCCTATTCATTTCTCAATCCCTTAGAATCTGGTTACTGACCACAGGATTCAAATTGATGTCTTAATGTACTTTTAATAAAGCAATTCTGGCTCTTTGTGACCACTTCTTTTTCTAGATATTCATTTAATTTCTTTTCAGTTAATTTTTTTAATAGAGAAGTTGAGGATGCTATAGATATGAAATGTTGTATGCACTTTCAGATGAGGTTGTTATATTGTTAATTTTGCTTATTATTTTACTTTGTTACAAGAGACCAATCACAGAGAGTAGATATTATATAAATCTTTGTCATGTAAAAAACAAAACATCAATAAAACTTAACATATCCACACATATATGTATATATCTGTAACAATATATAAGATATGTATATATATATATGTGTGTGTGTGTGTATTTATATTTAACACTGTTGACCCTCTCTCCTCTTGGATACTCATTCTTCTCTGGATTTTCAGGGCACTACTCTTTCCTGGTTCTGTTATCTGTATGATCACTCTTTTGCTGGCTCACCAACATTATCATACTTTTCTAACCCTGGGTATTCCCCAAGGATCTGTCCTAGATCCTCTTCTCTCTATAATGAGCCTTGGTGACCTCATCAACTCCCATGGATTTAATTATCACATCTATGCAGATGAATATCAAGTCTATACATCTGTTTCCATTCTTTCCCTTGAGCTTAAACTCAAAATATCCAAAAAGAGAACTCATAATCTTTCCCTCCCAAATCCATTTTCCAGACTTCTTTTATTTCTGTAGAAGGTGCCACCATTATCTCAATCTTCCAGATTCTTTATTTCAGCAGTACTTGACTTCTCACTCTCCTTTATTCCATATAGCCATCAATCACCAAATATTGCCATTTCTGTCTCTTTCACATCCTGCCCCTTCTTTCTACTCACAGAGCTACCACCGAAGTTCAAACCTTTATCATCTCTCACTTAGATTATTGCAGTAGCTCCTGATTGGTCTTCCTGCCTCAAGTCTTTCCCAATTCTAGTCCATCTACCACACTGCTGCCAAAGTGACATCTGTGTCATTCCCCTGCTCAATAAACTCCAGAAACTCTGAGATGAAATAGAAATTTCTCTGTTTAGCTTTCAAAGCCTTCACAATTTGACCCCAACTGATTTTTTCCCCATTCAGCACTCTCAGTCTAGCCAAACTGGCCTTTTCTCTATTCATACACATGACCTTTAAGACCCCCCTCCAGTTCCAGCAGAGAAAATTTGTGCACATTTCTGTGGGAGGAGGGAGGTCCATATTACACTATAGTTCCTACTTGTTTCTTGTGTACATGTTGTTTCCCCCTGAGAGACTTGAAATTCCTTGATGGCAGCTACTCTTTCATTTTTGTCTTTGTCCTTCCAGTGCTTAGTACAGTACCTGGAACATAGTAAGTGCTTAATAAATGATTGATTGATTTGCTAGAGAGAGAATACACTGTGATGAGGCAATGTACTCTGCCATTATGAAACCATACTAAGTGAATGAATGATAAAGCATTTATTAGGTGCTTACTATTATGTTTAGTTCTTTGCACCAAATTTTAAGAAGGATACTGGTAAGTTGGAGAGTGTCCAGAGGAAAGTGAGCAGGATGATGGAGGGCGTTAAGAACATGCTATATGATGATTAGTTGAAGTAACTGGTGATTTATCCTAAAGAAGAGAAGATTTTAGGGAGGGGATTGTAACTGGAACTGTGATTTCATTGCTAGGAAGAACTCCTGATGAGGAAACACCCTCTACCAATGCAGGCTGGCACATTTTCTGAAGCTTAAAAGTTTCAGAGTATTACCTGGACCACTGAGAGGCTAAGTAGCGTACACTGCCAGTATGTCTTGGAAGGATCCTGGCTTTGAGGCTAGTTCAATATCTGCTATACCATGCGCTTAGTGGAGGTAAATGGGGATTTGAGAGAAGAAAAGATTTAATGGGACATGATCACATTATTCAAATATTTGGAAGGTTGTGTGACATGGAGGAGGGATGAAACTTGTTTTGTTTGGCCTCAGAGGACAAAACTAGAAGCAGTGAAGGAAAGTTGTAGAATTAGATTTATTTTTATTTCATTTTAGTTTAGTTTTCAACATTCACTTTTGTAAGATTTTGAGTTGCAGATTTTTCTCCCTCCCTCCCAAAACAGCAAGTAATCTGATACAGGTTATACATGTACAGTCATATTAATCATATTTCCACATTAGTCATGTTGTGAAAGAAGAATTAGAACAAAAGGGAAAAACCACAAGAAAAAAAAAACCAAAAGAAAAGTGAAAATAGTATGCCTGATCTGCATTTAGACTCTATAGTTCTTTCTCTGGATCTGGATAATATTTTTTTATTAAGCAATTAATTTATTTTTAGTTTTCAAAATTGACTTCCACAAGATTTTGAGTTCCAAATTTTCTCCCCTCACCTGAACCCAAGACAGCTTGTATTCTGATTACCCCTTCCCCCAATCTGCCCTCCCTTCTATCACACCTCCCCCCCTTCTTTTATCCCCTTTCCCTTCTATTTTCCTGTAGGGCAAGATTTCTATACCCCATTGCCTGTATATGTTATTTCCCAGTTGCATGTAAAAACAATTTTTAACATTTGTTTTTAAAACTTTTGAGTTCCAAATTCTCTCCCTGCCTCTCTCCCCAACCACCCTTATTGAGAAGGCAAGCAATTCGATACAGGTTATACATGTGTAGTCATGCACAACACTTTCATAATAGCCATCTTGTGTAAGACTAACTATATTTCCCTCCATTGTATCCCGCCCCCATTTATTCTATTCTCTCCTTTTACCCTGTCCCTCCTGAAAAGTGTTTGCTTCTGATTACCCCTTCTTCCAATCTGCCCTCCCTTCTATCATCCCCTCCTCTCTTATCCCCTTTCCCCACCCTACTTTCCTGTAGGGCCAGATAGATTTCCATACCCAGTTGAGTGTGTATGTTATTCCCTCCTTAAGCCAAATACAATGAGAGTAAGGTTCACTCATTCCCTCTCATCTCCCCCCCTTCCCCTCCACTGTAAAAGCTTTTTCTTGCCTCTTTTATGTGAGATAATTTACTCCATTCTACCTCTCCTTTTCTCCTTCTCCCAGTACATTCCTCTCTCACCCCTTAATTTTACTTTTTAGATATCATTCCTTCATATATATATATATCATATATCATTAATATCATTATATATACTGTTTATATATATTGTTTATAATTCAACTTTCATAAGTCTGTTATGATTTCTCTTTCCTGTTTGCCTTTTCATGTTTCTCTTGAGGCTTGTATTTGAAAGTCAAATTTTTTATTCAGCTTTGGTCTTTTCATCAAGAATGCTTGAAAGTTCTCTATTTCATTGAATAACCATTTTTTTCCCCTGAAAAAATTTTGCTGGGTAGGTGATTCTTGGTTTTAATCCTAGCCTCTTTGACCTCCAGAATATCATATTTTAAGCCCTCCAATCCTTTAATGTAGAAGCTGCTAAAACTTGTGTTATCTTGATTGTATTTCCACAATACTCAAATTGTTTCTTTCTGACTGCTTGAAATATTTTCCTCCTTGACCTGGGTACTCTGGAATTTGGCTATAATATTCCTAGGAATTTTCCTTCTGGGATCTCTTTCAGGTGGTGATCGGTGGATTCTTTCAATTTCTATTTTACCCCCTGGTTCTAGAATATCAGGGCAGTTTTCCTTGATAATTTCTTGAAAGATGATGTCTAGGCTCTTTTTTTGATCATGGCTTTCAGGTACTCCAGTAATTTTTAAATTATCTCTCCTGGATCTGTTTTCCAGGTCAGTTGTTTTCCCAATGAGATACTTCATGTTGTCTTCTTTTTTTTTCATTCTTTTGGTTTTGTTTTATTGTTTCTTGATTTCTCATAAAATCATTAGCTTCCATTTGCTCCATACTAATTTTTAAGGAATTATTTTCTTCAGTGAGTTTTTGGACGTCCTTTTCCATTTGGCCAGTTCTGCTTTTTAAGGTATTCTTTTCCTCATTGACTTTTTGCACCTCTTTGCCATTTGGGTTAGTCTATTTTTTAAGGTGTTGTTTTCTTCAGTATTTTTGGGGGTCTCTTTTAGCAAGCTGTTGACTAATTTTTCATGATTTTCTTGGGTCACTCTCATTTTTCTTCCCAATTTTTCCTCTACTTCTCTTGCTTGCTTCTCAAAATCCTTTTTGAGCTCTTCCATGGTCTGAGACCAATTCATGTTTTTCTTGGAGGCTTTGGATGGTAGGAGCTTTGATTTTGTTGTCTTCTTCTGGTTGTATGTTTTGATCTTCTTTATCTATAGTCTGAGTATTTTTCTGCTCTTTGCTCATTTTCCCAGTCAATTACTTGACTTTTAAACTCCTTGTTAAGGTAGGGCTGTGTTTCCAGAGTGGAAGGCGTATTGTCTCAAGCTTCAAGGGTTTTGTGTAGCTGTTTTCAGAGGTACTTCTAGGGATCTGTAAAATTTCAGTTCTTCCACAGTGTTTAGTGTTAGAGGTGTTTACTCCTCTCCTGGTCTGTGCTGTGGTCTATGAATGACCACAAGTATTCATTTCTGCCTTGGAACTGTGAGGAGGATTTCCCTCCATGCTTCCATAAGCTCTGCCACACCAGCACTCCTCCTTGCCCCAAGACCACCACCCAGGACTGCCACCCAGATCCAAGCATGGGCAAAGCAAGAGAATCCTGCCTCAGTGCCAGGAAAGAGATTCCTGCAATCCCCCTCTGATCAGCCACTTGATCCCCCCCGCCATCTGTGGGCCAAGAGCTCTGGAAGTAGTCACCGCCACAGCCACCATCCCATTGCAGGGGCCAGACTGTGCTCCTCTCTCACCCAGGTCTGACAGACCTTTCCTATTAACCTTCTAGGTTGCCTTTGGCATTTGTGGGTTGAGAAGTCTGGAAACTGCCACAGCTGCCAGGGATTCAGTCCCCTGAGGCCTGCTCTGGGTTTGCTGGGGCCCAGTCTGTGCTGGAATGTTTTGCACTAGACTACGCTCCTTTCCCAGACTGGTGTAACAGAACCTTCCTGTTGACCTTCCAGGTTGTCTTGGGCTGGAAATTTGTTTTACTCTGTCATTTTGTGGGTTCTGCTCCTCTAGAATTTGTTTTGAGTCATTTTTACAGGTATTTGGAGGGGTTTGGGAAGAGAGCTCAAGCAAGTCCCTGTTTTTATTCCACCATCTTGGCTCCTGGATAATATTTTCCATCATGAGTCTTTTGGAATTGTCTTGGATCATTGTATTGCTGAGAAGAGCTAAATCTATCACAGTTGATCATTGTACAATGTTGCTCTTATTGTGAATAATATTCTCCTGGTTCTGCTCACTTCATTCAGCATTACTTCATGTAAGTCTTTCCAAGTTTTTCTGAAATCTGCCTGCTTATCCTTTCTTATAGCACAATAGTATTCCATTACATATTAATATATCACAACTTGTTCAGCCATTCCCCAATTGATGGGCATCCCCTCAATTTCTAATTTTTTGCCACCACAAAAAGAGCTGCTGTAAATATTTTTGTACATGTGGGTCCTTCTCCCTTTTTTATGATCTCTTCGGGATACAGACCTAGGAGTAATATTGATGCATCAGAGGGCATACACAATTTTATAGCCCTTTGGGCATAGTTCCAAATTGCTCTCCAGAATGGTTGGATCAGTTCACAACTCCACCAACAATGCATTAATGTTCCAATTTTCTAGAATTAGATTTAGATTTGATATCAGGAAAGAAGACCTAAAAATCAGAGATATCTAAAAATGAAAATGGATTTCAGGGGAAAGCGTTGGGCTTTCATTGAAAGTCTTCAAGCAATCATTTGTTGGGCAGCTTGTATGGGGATTCTTTTTTTTTTTGAGATATGAACTTGTTTAATTTTTTAATTTTTTTTTATTTTTAACATGTGTTTTTAAAGCTTTGGGTTACAAATTTTCTCCCTTCCTCCCTCCCCACCCACCCTCTTTGAAAAGGCAAACATCTTGGTACAGGTTATAGATGTGTAATCGCAAAACACTTCCATAGTAGTCTTGTTGTAAAAAACTAAGCATATTTCCCTTCATCCTATCCTACCCCCCATTTATTCTACTCTCTCTTTTGACCCTGTCCCTCCTTAGAAGTGTTTGCTTCTGATTATCCCCTCCCCCAATCTGCTCTCCCCTCTATCAACCCCCTGCTCTCTTGTCCCTTTCCCCCCTTATTTTCCTGTAGGGTAAGATAGATTTCCTTGTATGAGGATTCTTATTCAGGCATGGATTGTACTAAATGACTTCTGACTTCAAGTTGCAATAGACATTTATTAAGTGCTCTCTATGTGTCAAGCACTTTGTTAGGTGTTGGGATTAAAAAACAAAAAAGGAAAATAATCCCTGCTCTCATAGACTTTACATTTTATTAATATGATTTGCTTATCAAATGTGTTCTCCTTAAGTGAATTCTCCAGGAGCCACTTGATGTTTTTCCTTGAACTTTTTTATGTATCAAAGGCTTCAACCTGGTGTTTGGTTTTGTTTGGTTTTGTTTTCTTGGTAGGAAATTTGGAAGTTTTAACCTTGCATCTGCACTCTGGGTTGCATGATGTCTCATGGGATGCTACTTTTAATTAGTCTTAAACTGTATCTAAATAAGTTAGGTCTCAGTAATTGGTAATCAGCATCAGTTTGCTCATTTAAGTGTTATAGCAGTCTCTTTTAAGAATCATTGGATATCGAGGCAGCTAGTGGTGCAGTGGATAGAGCACTGGCCCTGGAATCAGGAGGACCTGAGTTCAAATCCATCCTCAGACACATAACACTTTACTAGCTGTGTGACTCTGGGCAAGTCACTTAACCCCAATTGCCTCACCAAAAAAAAAAAATTTTAAAAATGAGAAATAAAGAATCATTAGACATAATAAGCAAGATCCATAAATCAGGATATCCAAAAATCTTTCCTCACTTCCTATCTCTTTGCTATACCTACTTGTTTTCATGTGGGAATTTTTTGGGTGTCACTGCTGAGCCAGTCTATACATTCACTTCACCTCCTGCCCCTGCCAAACTGCTCACATACAAGCAAAGGGCAACTATCATCAGTTTGCTAGCTGGCTGATTCCTGGTCTGTTCAATCACTAGACAGAGTTGACAGACTGCAGAGGTTTTTGTGGCCCCTCAAACTCATTATACCTCTTAGAATCCTTACCTTCCTTCAAGACTCAATTCAGGTGCCATATCCTAGGAAAGACCTTTCCTTGTTCCCTTAATTGTTGGTGCTCTCTTCCTGTTCAAATTATATTTGTAGACTAGTAGGTAGGCTTCAAGAAAGAAGGCTTCTCGAGAGCAGGAACTGTTTTTAGAGCCTCGAACAGTGCTTTGCAAACAGTCACCTAATAAATGCTTGTTAAATCAAATTTGAATTTGAATTTCCCGCAGGTGCTAACCAGCCAGCCACTCATCTAGTATCCATTACAGTGTAACATGTGCCTATGGCTCCTCATGCTCCCAGTATATGACCTCTTTATTCTTCTTCAGTTACCTCCTTTTGCTTCTCTTCTTCCTTCTCATCTCCTTTCTCAAGAGGATGAAGAACAATCAGAGAATTTCAGATTTGTCAGGAAGGCCATCTATTCCCATCCCTCCCCCCATCCCTGAACTCCAGTCCCTTCCACAAACTTGATGTAAGGGAAGGTTTTCTTAGATCAAGCCTATATCTACTTTTCTGCAAATTCTAACCATTACTCCAAGTTCTGCAACCTCCGTCCACAAGGAAACCAAAACAATTTTGTTCACCTTGTTCCACCTCTTCCACAGTTGCTCACATTGGTCTTGTGTCTCCCTTCCAGAAACATCCTATCCCTTCCTTCATGGGTACCTCTCTCCCAAAAATGTCTCCCTTTCAGAGACATCCCCATGAGATTGGACCTCTTGGACTTCAAGGGATAGACAGTTTCCCTGAAGGCCTGAGTTGAGGTTCTTAATGAGAAAGTGCCTCTGGCCCTGTCTCTTAGGGAACACCACCGAGAAGGACAGAAAAGATAAGAAAGAAGAGATAAAGGAGGACAAGCTATATGAGGAGGAGGAAGAAGATGAGAGCATGTCCACTCCAAGCATGACCAGTTCTGCAACTGTCTTCAGAATGCTTTCAGCCAGTGACCCCAATCTGGGAAGGGAACTGCTAGAAGCAGCTGCCAGTGGTGAGAATTGACCTCTTGACCACTGCCCCCTTGAGGCTTTCTCTGTGAACCTTTTCTTACCCTTTTCCCCCAGTCACATACCCCAGTATCAATCCCAGGATGCTTCCACCTTTCCAGAGACTAACTTCCTATGAGTTCCTTTTGTCAACTGAATGAGAGGTCATAGTAGGGGTGTAGAAAAAAGATTTCCCTAGGTGACCTGGGGCTGGAATGCAACTAGAGCGTAGCTCGGCCCTAAGATGGACAGAACTGGTAGAGCTGGAGCTGGGAAAGGGTATTGTAGAGAGGGAGTATGATGAGAGTAGGTATGACCATGATGGGTGTGAACACTGGATTTGTGACCTGAAGGCCTAGACTCTGCTACTTAACAATATTCATAACATGAAGAGGTCATCTCAATCTCTTGGCCTCGGTTTCTTCATCTGTAAAGTGAGAAGGTTGGACTAGATAACCTTTGAAGTCCCTTCCTATGATCTATGACCTAGGAGAATATCCAGGTAGGAGCATGCCTTGAGGTGTGTGTCTGGGTTTGTTGGAGGCTGAGATGAGTCTCTGGGCATTTCATGGCAGGTCTGCCAGTGCTGCTGAGCAATGTGGAGCTGGGTCTGTGGTGTCCTGAGTTGCAGTGGCTGCTTCAGAGGGAACATCTATGCCTTCCTGCAGTGCATCCCAACTTCTGCCTATACCTGAGCACCAGGCTGCGCCTTGATGCTTTGCCAACAGGTGAGACCTAGACATGGAGGTTGGTGTGGGGTGACCTTCCCCATTTTTCCAGGATTATTTGCTGCCACCACTCAAGGACTCTTCTGCTCCATCTTCCCCAGCCCCTTGCTACAAGGTCCAACCCACTCCACAAGGTTGGATATATGCCGCAAAGTGTTATAATGTGAAGCATGAGGGTCACAGGCTAGATGGAAGTTGGAAGATGAACAGAGACTTAGGGAGCAGTGGCTGAGCTAGGGGCTGGGAACAGTGGCTACAGAGAAATGGGAGTGTGAGGTGAGAGTAGACAGGGATAAGTCAGGGGTTGCAGCCAAAGGCAGAGGAGGAGGGAAAGTAAAGGCTGATGGAGGTGGAGGATAGGGAAGGGGTTTGGCAGAGGCAGGGGATGGATGGTTTTGGGGCTTGGGTACGGAGAGCATGTTCGTGGGTAAAGCTGAATGGGGCCTATCTCCAGGTCTGAACTCAGAGACACTGAAGGCTATGAATATAATAGATATGCATACGATTCAGGAGGTGACAGAGGAACAGCTTTTACAGGAGATCATAAGAGCTGAGAGGCCAGAGTTGGAAATAAGATGGCATAGCCTGGAGCTCAGCATACTGGATGCTTACGATCAGGTTCAGGCTACCAAGGTGAGTTTGGGCCTGGGCCTGGGCCTGGGCCTGGGAGACAGCAAAGAGGGAGGAGTCAGGGGAAGAAGATTAGGAAGAATAGAAATGAGGAAAGAGCACTAGGAGGGAAGGGACAGGGACCTAGTTCGGCAGAGGTTTTTAACCTTTTTTTGTATTATGATCCCCTTTGTCAGTCTGGTGAAGCCTGTGGACTCCTTCTTAGAATAATGTTTTTAAATGCAAAAAATAAATGATACATAGAATTATAGAGGAAGCCAATTATATGGAAATAAAATCATCAAAATGTTTTTTAAAAAACAAATTCACAGACACCAGGTTAAGAACCACTGCATTTGAGAGAAGAGATAGCTGTCCAGGGGAAAACAGGGTCAAGGGTCTAGGAAAGGACAAGGGGAAATATGGGAACTGTGATCTACAGGGGATGGGAAAAAGTATGTTTGGGGGGAATGAAGTGGGTGGGTAACAGAGGCAGCAGACCAGGCTTTGAGCAGGGGGGGCCTCATACAGGAAAAGCTACTGGGGCTCGTGTTAAACACAGAAGCAGACCAACTAGGCCGAACCTGTTTCCTGCGGGAAGTGCTGTGCTACCAGGCAAAGCTCTATCAGCAGAATGCTTACCTGGAAGAGTTGAAGGAGATGGAGGCCCAAGAGTTAGAGTCTCGTATAAATTACTGGCATGTGGCTCATCTCGGCACCACACTGTCCCAGGCCATGTCCCTTCTTCAGAATTTACACCCTATCTACTCCACGGCCTTAGACAACTGTCTGACTGTGACACACCGTACTCTGGCCAGCACTGACCACCAGCTACCACCGCAGCACGGTGAAGACCTGGACAGCCACCTTCAAGGGCTAGGAAACCGGCTAACACGCCGGCTGCTAAGTAATACCCTGACCTCCTTGCAGCCCCACCATGCACCCCTAGTAGGGGTCTTTGGTGCCCTGGCCCTGCTACAGCTAGCTGGGAAGGCATCTGCCTTGGAGAGGCTGGCACTCTGCCCAGGACTAGCAGCCTCCCCAGTGGTGAAGAAGAATGTGCCGAGCTCGAATGTCACCTGCCCTTCCTGGCTACGGCCCAAGGCCTGGCAGGAGTGTGGATTGCTGGAGCTGCTGCCCCCCTTTGTAGGCCTGCGGGCTTCCCTGGCTGCCCACTCATGTGCCTGGCAGGAGTACCTGAGATTGCCCTCCACAGTGCTGGGTCGAACACCAGGCATTGGTGCCACGCCCCTGAGCTTACTTCAGAAACTGGTGCTATGGCGGGTGCTACGACCAGATCGGCTAGCTGGTGCCTTGGCTGACTTTACCACCTGCCTCCTGGGACGGCCCCTGGCTGAGGATAAGACTCCAGCCACCGACCCCTACAAGTTGAGCCGCCCAAACCGGCCCCTGATTGTGTTGCTGCCCCCACCAGGCCACCCCACTGCCACGTCATACCCTTTACCCTTCATCTGGAAGCTGGCATACCAACAGAAGCAGGAGGTGAGGCTGGAGCTCTGAGTAGAGATACTTGAAACTACCCTCTTAGCACTAGATGTACAACCCTGGGCAAGGTGCACCTCCTTCCTGAGTCCTTTTCATCTTAGGTGACTCCTAGACAACTCATGGTTGCTACCACCAATTATGTTAGAATGTTTTATGCTAGAGCTGTAACATTTCACCTAGTCAATGCCCACATTTTACAGAGAAGTACACTGAGGCCCAGAGAGTGTGACTTGACCAAGATAAAGCAGATGGGAAGGAAGTAGAACCCAGATCTGTTAACTCCCAGCCAGAGGTTCTTTCCCCAATTTCCTAGACTCCAAGCAGGGCACAGTCTGAGCTAAGAGCCTTAGTAACATCAATTGGCCCAGCTACAAGATACTGAGTCATGCAATTCTTCCCTTTTCCAAGCTGTGAGAAATGAGTGCTCCCTGCCTCTTTCTCTCCCAGCATGGGTTTCAGTCATCCCCCTTCCCCTCACTGTCATCAGCTTGAAAAGCTCCTTCACAACCAGTAAGGTCCCAACTCTCCCCATTTCCTTTGCACATTTCACCCTAAATTGGGGTGGTTCACTCCTGCAGCAGCCTTTTCTCCATTTGCCCTCTTGCACCTTCACTGACTCTGTATTTCTGCTAGCCAATCAAATGAAGGCTCCTTATCACTCTAAATCTGTGCACACAACACTCCAGAGAAGTCCAGCCCCAAGCAGGCACTGGCTGAGCATGACTTCTGACCACCTCTCCCACACACTTGTACTCCTAACCAAAGAGCTCCTCTTACTCATCTTGCTCAGCAGCTCAGGTGTCAACCCTTGCGGAGAACTACAGCCAGCTCACTCACTGCACTGACACTCCTATAGACATCCATCATATGACCGTAGGGCCCTCTCAGAGGCGGCTGAGCCACGGACCCGTTGTATGACGTGTGAAGTTCCAGGGCTAAAGGCATCAGAAAACCCTTTCAGTAGCAAATGGGGGTGGAAGTTGAGTCCAGAGAAGTCCATACCTGGCCCTGAGCCTTTGCAGACAGATGGTGATCAGGTGACATTCTCCATCAGACCCTGGTTCTCTCTCATTGCTCTCTGAAGGGCAAAGGCTGGTTAGGAGAGAATTGTTTCTTTTACACAGCCTTCAAAGTAGCAAGGAAGGAATTGTAATTTGTTTCCTCAGTAAAGGTACTGGGGGCTGCCTTATGGTTACCTGGAGTTACAGGGCCCCTAGAAGCTATTCAATGCATGCCTATTTCTCTTGGGGCAAAAGCATCTGCAGGTCATTGGACTGGGTTCCTCTCTATGGGATTCTGCTCAGGCTGTGACCACAGCCCTGACTGAAGCCATGCGAAAGGGCCACTGGATAGTGTTGGACAACTGCCATCTGATGCCTTGTTGGCCGTCTGAGCTCCTGGAATCCTTGTTGGGGATGTTAGATGGGGCTCAGGGTAGGTGAGCCTGCTGCCCCGTATCTGTACCCCACCTTATGTCTGTGCTCCCCTGGAGTCTGTACACCCTCCTCCTCTGTGTGTGTTTGTCCTTGGCTGTGCCTTCCTTATGACTGTATTCACCTCTGTCTGTGTCCCACCTTGTGTCTTTTGCTTCTTCAGGAATATGTCTCCTCTATCTTGTTACCCTTCTGCCTATTCCTTCTGTTTGTGCCTCCCTAGTGTTCTGTATTCCCGTCATATTTGTTTCTTTTTTCATGTTCGTGTACCTTCCTTTGTATATGTTAGCCACCCATCCCCATGTGTTTCTGTTCCTATGTCTGCCTCCACTGTATCTTTGTTCCTTCCTTATGTCCATGCCCCCCCCCTTTTCTGCATCTCTGTGGCTCCTTGGGTGTGTCTGTGTTAGCCCTCATGTTTGTGTCCCCATCTCATTGCTTCATAATGCCTCAGTCCCTAATGTCATGTTCATGGCTTCCTTCATGCCGTTAGCTCCCCCTTCTCTCACACACAATGTCTAGGTCCCTTCCTTTATATCTTTTTTTTTCTTGATTGTGTTCTCCACATTTCTGTGTGTCTCCCTCCTAGTAGTATTTTCCATATCTAGCCATCCCTCATGACTGTGCTTCCCACAAGTGTATCTCCATTTCCTCATGTCTTTGTCCTCCTCTTATATCTTTGTTCCCTCCTTATGTCCATAGCCCTCCCCTTGTTTCTGTGTCCTTCCTCATTTATATTCTTCTCTCTCACATCTAGGCCCCTCCCTTCATAAAGCTTTCTCTCCCTTATCTGTGTCCCCAGAATGTATTTCCTGCTCCTGCCTGGGTACCTCTCTTCACTTCATTATCCCCTCTGCTTTGTCTGAGTCTAATCACATCTGTATTTCTGTCTTACGTGTGGCCCATACATATCTGAGCCTCCTCATGCCTTTGCCTCCTCCTCCTCAAAGTCTGTCTCTCCCTTCAATGTCTGTGGACCTTTTCTTTGTGTTGGCAATGTGGCAAAAGCAGAAGGAAGGAAGAACTCTTGCCTCTGGAGGATTCAGCCAGCCCACATCTGCAGTAGCCCTGTGGGCCAGGCCCTATGGCGAGTGAGAACTGGGGATACGAAAAGGGACAGAAATCAGTGAGAGGGCCTAAGTGGCAATGCCCTTCTAGGTATTTATTGACTGTGTGACCTCGGGCGAGTCACTTAGCCTCCCAGCCAATTCGAGCATTGGACTAGGTGGCTTCTGAAGTCCAGGGCTCCACAGTTAGGATCCCTTCATTTCTTTTTCTCTTTCTTCATGCTTGTGTCCCTCCCTTCATGTCTGTTTCCCCTCATGCTTCTATCCCCTTCATGTTTTTGTTTCTCCCGTGCCTGTCCCTATGAATACATGCCCTTTTGTGTCCTTCACTGTTTCCCTTGCCTTATGTTTGTGTCTCCCTTGTGTCTGTCTCACCCCTCAAAGCTGTTTTCCTCCCATATGTATCTTTGATCTTATATCAGTGTCTGTACTTTTCTGTCCACCTCATGTCTTTGTCCCTCCCCTTTGTGTCTGTGTCTCACTCATGTCTGTGCCCCTGCTCTCATTCCCGTGGCCCCCTAGCGTCTGAGCTTCTATTACGCATACATCCACCTTCATATCTATGTCCTTATGTTTGTGTACAGAATTCTGTACGTTTGTGCTATGTGCTCGTGACTTTGTTTCCCTTTCAAGTATATATTAGCCTCATGCCCGTGTTCCCCACTTATGTGTATGTTCCCCCATAACTGTGACTAACCATGTCTATGTCTCTTTCATGTCTGATATAAAAATCTACAGCCCCCTTCCTGGGTCTGTGTGTTCCCCATGCTTTGGCCATTCCACATTTTCCTGTACCCCGTTTCTCCACAGTGACATCAGAAGTTTTGCCACAGGTCTTGCACCAATCCATGTCCAGACAAAATCTAATTGTAAATAAGAAATTCCGGCTATGGCTTATTTCCTCAGTTAATGCAATTGACTCTCTTCCAGGTGAGGATAAAAGCCCCTTAATGAGAATCCTAATTGAATGGGGGGAGGAAGAGAAGAGTAGGCTGATGACCAGGTGCTAGTTTCAATGGAGAATAGAAGGTGGGGACTGTCTAAGGCACTGCACTGAGCAGAAGAAAGGACTGCTGTCGGCGGGCAGCTAAGTGGCACAGTGGATAGAGCACCAGCCCTGAATTCAGGAGGACCTGAGTTCAAATCCAGCTTCAGACACATAACACTTACTAGCTGTGTGACCCTGGGCAAGTCACTTAACCCCAATGCCTAGCCAAAAAAAAAAAGACTGCTGTCTAGGGTATATCATTTGGTGGCAGTAGAGGATCATAGACCGCTGTCCAGGCTTCTTTCCAGAGTAAGCATGAAGATTTCCCATTGAAAGCTGACTGGCCAGAGTTATGCTCTGAGTCATGCCCTCTCCCCTTTATTTCTTACTAGTGGCGGTGGTACAGCGCTCAGTTCCTATATTCTGGGAGCATTCACTAGAACTGGACCACATCTTGATACGCAGCCTACATGAAAGACAAGATTCCCTGGAAAATCCTAAACCCTCAGTGTCCCTAACCCTGTCTGTGCCAGTGATGTTCCTGCACAGCCTTCTGCTGCACCGCCAGCTCTATGGGCCCTGGCTTCAGGCCAAGTGTGGCAAATGGTAAGTCCCCCACACCTGAAGGCCCTTTTCTTCAGGTCTATGGCCATTGATGGTTTGACATGCCCCCAAGCCAAGTCAAGCTTTTCTTCTGCCCATTGCCTGACTAGGGAGACCCCATCTGGAAAAGGCTTTCCCTTGCTTTTTCTAAGTCTTATCTTAGTCCCATCAGCCACTTCCCATAGGATCTCATATTTCCTGCCACTATCCTCTTGACCCTCTATTCCCTCTCCACCCCCACCCCAACAGGAATCAGATCATCCTGGAACAGACTCTAAAAACACAGGAATGGATATGGAAGAAATTCAGCAATCACTGGGTGGCCCTGCAAGAGCTAACTGGCAAGATCCTGGCCCTGCCCCTTCCTTGCAGCTTCACATATAGCCTCTCATGAGGTTCCTGTCATCATTCCACTAATCATTTGTCTTCCCTTCCTTGCCCTTTGGCTAGCTTTGTTTTCTCCTATCTTTCTTCTGTCTGCCCCCAATCTCTGGCTTCCTCTGAGTCCCCTCCATTTCTGTTTCCCTTTTTCCTCTCCTCTTTTTCTGACTGCCATCCCACCCATCTTTCAGTTTTCTTTGTTTTCCCCATTCTTGATTTCTGCATCCCTCATCCATTCTCAGGAAAGGGACCTGCAACCTGAGTATCTTCTTCCTGGTGCAGAGTCCAAAGGCCAGGCAGGGGGTAGATGTGGTTGGAGTACAAGGATTTGAAAGTGCCTGTGGTTCCTGTCCTCCAGGAGCAATTTTTTACGGAGGACATGTGGCTGATCCCGAAGACCAGGCTGCCATACTCAGTCTTGTCCAGGCCTGTCTGGACCCCAACAATGAACTGAGACCCTACGGTTTTACCCCACAGAATCTGCTGGCTATCCTTATACCATACCCAGGTAGGGCCCTGGGCGGAGTGGGAGATGGCCAAGTGTGATCCCCAACCGTATTGAGGAGATATGTATGTGAAGGGTCCAAACGCATAGATGAGGGGTGGGCTCGCATCCGTGGATAGAGGCATTGGTTATCTGTGTTTGGGGATGAAATGATTAGGACTTGGTGTATATGTGTGGTTTGGTGTCTCTATGTATGTGTATGTAAGGTGTCCTATTTCTATATGTGTATGTGTGACCCTGAATCAGTGTATGTGAGAAGAGGTCCTATCCCTGATGCATGTTTTACTGTGGGGATATTCTATTCTTGTGTGTGTGAGACCCTGTCTGTTTGTATGTTCTGGGGTGTGTGTGTGGGGGGGGGGAGATATGTGTATATACATGTGTGTGTGTGTGTGTGTGTGTGTGTGTGTGTGTGTGTAGATCAAGGCTCTTTCCTTGTATGGGTGTGTGTGCTTGGTAGTGATGATGTCCCTATATGTGGGAAGTCAAATCCATGTGTATACTCAAGATCTAGGGGAGGGAATGCTTTCTCTCTCTCTCTCTCTGTCTCTCTCTCTCTCTCTGTGTGTGTATATGAAAGGGATTATATTATGTCCCAATGTATGTTATGTGTGTGAGGCTGGGCAGGGCGGGGGACCAGTGCAGGGAATAGGATGGGAGAGAGATTCAAGTTAGGGTAGATAGAAGATATGTGTGTGAGAAGGTACTCCACTCATAGGGGAAGGGGAGGAAGGGTATCATTGGCCTCATCTTATAGTTCTGGAGGTTCCTTGGATTCACATTTTGTGTCCATCATAGCTCAGAGCATCAGGTTGTCCTTTATCTTTATTGGTTATCCTTAGCAAAGAGTTGTTGTTGTTGTTGTTATGTGTGTGTGTGTGTGTGTGTTTTATCTTGATTCTTCGGATCAAGATGTGATTGACATGTATTCTCTGTGTTTCTCCCCAAAATCTCTTCCTCTGGCTCTGTGTTAGCAGCCAGGATTTCTTTCAGCTTATCTTGGGGAATTTTGGTGGAAAAATCCAACTGCCTTCTCTATCCAAACCACAGTGATATGTTTCTGTTCTGTAACCAGCTTGAGTTTCTCTCCAGTCATGGGGTTAGCAACTTCTGATGGCTCTGCCAGGTCAAGAGCTCTACATCTATCTAGCTCTGGAAATATGTTCACTGGAAACACATGCTATAGCTATTCTGAGCCCCTTCCTTGATACTCTTCTTGTTGACTCCTTTGAAACTTCAAGAGTCAAATCATGTTGAGGTATGGAAGTAATGACTCTGTCTTCAAATTGTCAAAGGCCTATACTCCTCTATAAAGAGTGATTTTCCAGACATTCATTACGAGCTGCTTAGATGTGAAGCATTTAAGCTGAGGCTGAGTTATGCAGATAACTATAGCCTCACACATAGCTTTGGGTCAGTTTCTCCTTTCTCTACTGATACTATGTCCACAGTCAAAACTAGTGCCCCCTAGATAAACGGGCACAGCCTTTTGGGGATGGGCCAGGGAGTAATCGAGTTAAACCCCTTGTGCAGGCCCACAGCTCAGCAGTGATGGCTGAGGCAGCAGGAGGCAATGGGACCTTTCAAGAACTATGCAAAGCCTCATTGCCAAGGAGGCTGCACAACTTTCTGGAATAAAAGACTTATTTTCCCAGAGTAATTTAATTTAGAGAAAGCATCAAGTCCATGTGTCTTCCTGAATTTTTAGCTCTTTAAACTTCATCAGAATCTCTCAGCTTTTATCTCTGATCAATAATGGTTCATCCATGAGTATCACCACAGGCATTCTGATAAGAAATTCAACCTGACCTTTGGTTTTTGTCTGCCTGGAAGAAGCCTCACTTCTTTTGCCATCAAGAAGGATTACCTTTCCTCATATGTAGGAATTTACATTATTTACTTGCTTATGCCCATTCCATCATAGACTAAGTTCATCACTACTGCAGTAACTTATAAAAGAAGTTGACTTTAACACTGCTACCCCTCCAGTTGGAAGTGGAGTAAGCTCCACAGGACATAAAGTGGTAACATCTGCTGTCTCAGACTTCTAAAAAAAATTGTCACACTTTAGACATTTGAGATGTTGAATGCTGCAAAACATTAACTTTTTTCCTCTGCCTTATTGCTCCCAGTTGTGCTTTTTGTAGACAAAGAAAGCAATCTCTTTCACATGGTAGACCTTTGACAATTAGTAAACAGCATCTTCTGGATTTTCTCCTAAACTGTTTCCCCTGGAGTCCAAAGGGACTGTCTGATCCTTATTCCAGGAAGGAGTGCCTTTCTTAAAGTTAAGGTGATTAATCAGGTTGATTCCAACAGGAAGAGGAGATGATAATAGAATATGCTAGTTTCCTATGGACCTCAGACCTCAGACCCCCAAAATCAGACCTCACATGAAATATTCCTGCTCAAGAACATCAGGTTTTGGAAGGCTTGGCTCCACCTACTTAAGATGGCCCAGATGGACTTGGCTATCAAACTGATCACACATTTGTGGCAACAAGTTCTGCTTCTGTTTTTGACCAGCCTAGCAGTCAGGTGCATGCCAGCAGTCAGGTACGTGATGTGAAGGAGAGGAATCCAGGATGACTTTTGGGGGAGGTGGCTGCCCAGCCCACTTTTGTCACCCAGTCACAGGAGTTTTATGCAGTCTATCTGCCGTCTGCTATCAAGGGAGCAGCAAGGTTCTCTACTCATCTTTCATCTCTGAACCAATCTTACTTTGCCCATCTTCCAACCCATATTTCTCTTAAAAAAATGTTACTGATATATTTTTACATGACCTTCACTTCAGAATATATCCATCTTCTTCCCTCACCCAACCCCCAGTAGCCATCCCTTATAACCTACTATATGTCAGAGAAAGACAAAAATGAAACAGTCTGCCCTCAAGGACCTTATATTCTATCATGGGAAATATGTATGAGTGGATACATAAATATAAAATAATTTAGAGGGGGAAGGCACTAGCCACTGGAGAAATAAGGAGAGACTTCTTATAGAAGATGCTATTTGAGTTCAGTTTTGAAGGGATTCTAAAAGACAAAGACAAGGAAGGAATGCATTTGAGGCTTGGGGAAAGCCAGTGCAAAGGCACAAAGATAGGATACAGTTGTTTGAAGGACAGTAAGAAGGCCAGTTGGGGGTGCATTGACTCTGGGCAAGTCACTTAACCCCAATTGCCTCACCAAAAAAAAAAAAAAAAAAAAAGGCCAGTTGGCTAGATCATAAAATTTGTAAAAATAAGGCTGGAAAGGAAGGTTGGAAGCTAGGTTGTAAAGGGCTTTAAATGCCAAACAGAGGAGTTTATATTTGATCCTAAACATAATAGAGAACTACTGGAAATTGCTGAGTAAAGGAGTGACATGTTTCCTTATTTGTAAAGTGAGGAGATTGGACGAGGTGACTTCTAAGATCCCCCTGCCAGCTGTGACTAACAAATGCTGGCACCTGGAAGGAAGCTGTAGCCAAAGGGCTCTGGCCTTAGGCCCGAGCACACTGGCCTGAGGCTTGGCTTCACACCTTCTAACTAGCTGCCTCTTAGAATCTTCTGCTCTTCCCCTGTCCTTAGGAGAGAAGATCAGTGTTTGAGACACTGTCTTGATTCACTCAGGCAGTGAGTAAAGGCACATTGTGGATTTTTATCTTCTCCATCAAGCAACTATCTCCAGTGTCAACACCAACTCCTTGGTAATTTCCCACAGGGCACTACCCCTAGATCACAGCCCTTCTTCTATCTATTACCTGGGTATTCCCCAAGACTTTGTCATGGGCCCCCCCTTTTTTTTTCTACACTCCCTTAGTGAACATCAGCTTTCATGGGTTAAATTATCATCTCCATGCAAAGGACTCCCAAATCTAATCTCCCAACTCTAATGGCTCTCCAGAAGTTCGATCTTTAACAAGATGTCCTGTAGAAACTACAAAGTCACTATAACGTGTAAAATGGAACTAAATATTTTCTCTAAAATCCACTCCTTTTCAAACTGCTTATTTCCATCAAAGGACCAGAAGTCTAGTTACTCTTGAAATGTCGGAGTCATTCCTGATTCTTTTCCTCTCTTTAATATCCCATACCCAATTAGTTGTCAAGTCGTCATTTCTTCTTCTACATCTCTTGCACCCATCCCTTTGTCTCCACTCATATCCCAATCCCAGGTTAAGTCCTCATCCGTTCTTGCCTGGATTAATGCAATATACTTCTGATTAGTCTCCCTTCTCCCCATCTCTTCCCTCTCTAATTCATTCTCCACACTGATATTCCTAAAACAAAAATCCGACCATTTCACTCCTTCACTAGAAAACGCTCCTGTGTGGCTCCCTATTATCTCTAAGATAAAATACAAACTCTTCACCCTAGTATTTAAAGCTCTCGCAATATGATTCCCCACTGACTTTTCTTGTCATCTTCATATTAGGCCCCTTCATGCATTTTCTGTTCCCATCAAATTGGCTTTCTAACTGTTCATAACATTCTATCTCCTGTCTCCATGCCTTCACACTGGTGGTCCCCTATGTCTGAAATTCACTCTCTGCTTGCACTGGAATCATGTACTTCATGCTTCCTTCAAAGAACAGGTCAGGCGCCATTACCTACACAAAGCCTTTCCTGATTCATCACTTGTTACTGCTTTCCTTCCTCTTGAAATCCCATTGCAGTGCTTTGCACATACTTGTGTCATATTGCCCCAGCAGAATATAACCTCCTTAAAGCAGGGTCTGTTTTATATTTGCCTTTTATCCCCAGCACCTGGTACAATGCCTGACACATTGTAGTTGTTTGTTTGCTGAAAGAGATTGGTCAAAGAGAAGAAATAGGGATATTTAGCCTGAAGAGGAGAATCAGAGGAAATTAATGCGAGCTGTCCCATATTTGATTTGTTCTGTTGGGCTCTAGGTGCCAGAATTAAGAACAGTGAAGTGAAAATTCTCCTGGGGCACATAGAAGCATAATAGTGGAAGGAGGTATGCAGTTTTTATTTGGGGTTGTAGGAGGAACTGGTTCCCTCATCAGTCCTAGGATCTAGATATATTCTTTGGCTCCATCCATCCCATTGAAAACTCCCCATTTCCTCTCAGATCCAGGCATAACAAATCACTTAGATTTAATATCAGTAATAAGGGATAAAGATAATTTACTTAAAATAGCATTATGAAATCATGGAAATACATAAGCAGCAACTCTACCAACATCTTTTTTTTTAAATAATATGCCGCTTAATTATTTATTAGGGGAAAATTTACATTTCTTTTTAAAATTATTAACTTATTTTAATTTATCAACAATCACTTCCATAAGCTTTTGAGTTTAAAATTTTTCTCCCCCTTCCTCCCCACCACCCTCCCCAAGACGGTGCACAATCTGATATAGGCTATACATATACATTCCTATTAAACATATTTTCACATTAGTGATGTTGTAAGGAAGAATTAGAACCAATAGGAGGAACCACAAGAAAGAGAAAACAAAACAAAACAGAAGAAAAAAATAGCAAATAGTATGCTTTGATCTCCATTCAAACCCCATAGTTCTTTCTTTGGATTTGGATAGCATTTTCCATCATGAGACCTTTGGAGATGTCTTAGATTCTTGCATTGCTGAGAAGGGCTCAGTCTATCAAAGTTAGTCATTGCACAACGTGACTGTTACTGTGTGCAACATTCTCCTAGTTCTGCTCACTTCACTTAGTATCACTCCATACAAGTCTTTCCAGCTTTTTCTGAAGTCCTCCTGCTCATTATTTCTCATAGCACAATAGTATTCCAGTATATTCATATACCACAACTTGTATAGCCATTCCCCAATTGATGGGCATTCCCTCAATTTCCAATTCTTTGCCACCACAAAAAAAGAGCTGCTATAAATATTTTTGTACATGTGGGTCCTTTCCCCATTTTTATGATCTCTTTGGGATACAGCCCTAGAAGTGCTATTGCTGGGTCAAAGGGTATGCACATTTTTATAGTCCTTTGGGCATAGTTCCAAATTGCTTTCCAAAATGGTTGGATCATTTCACAACTCCACCTGGAGACCCCAGGTTCTGGGATAAGAACTCACTACTTGACAAAAACTGCTGGGAAAACTGGAAAAGAGTATGGCAGAAATTAGGCACCAACCAAAATCTCACACCGTATACCAAAATAAAGTCAAAATGGCTTCATGATTTAGATATAAAGGCTGATACTATAAGCAAACTGGGAGAGCAAGGAATAGTTCATCTGTCAGATTTATGGAGAACAGAAGGATTTATGACCAAACAGGAGATAGAGAACATTACAAAATACAAAATGGATAATTTTGATTACATTAAATTGAAAAATTTTTGCACAAACAAAGCCAGTGCAACCAAGATTAGAAGGAAAGTAGAAAATTGGGAAAGAATTTCTACAACCAGTGTCTCTGATAAGGGCCTCATTTCTAAAATATATAGAGAATTAAGTCAAATTTATAAGAATACAAGTCATTTCCCAACTAATAAATGGTCAAAGAATATGAACAGGCAATTCTCAGATGAAGAAATTAAAGCCATCTATAGTCATGTGAAAACATGCTCTGAATCACTATTGATTAGAGAAATGCAAATCAAAACAACTCTGAGGTACCACATCACACCTATCAGATTGGCCAACAGGACAAAACAGGAAAATGATAAATGTTGGAGAAGATGTGGGAAAATTGGAACATTAATGCATTGTTGGTGGAGTTGTGAACATCCTTTTTTCTTCCTGACCCTCTGGGGATGAAAAGTTGTAAGTTCATTCTTTCTCAGCCCTGTGGCCTGGCCACAGGATCAGGAAGCCTCAGAAACTTTACATGGGAACTCTGCCTCCTATGTGGCCCACCCAGGGTCTTTCTCTCTCTCTCTCTCTCTCTCTCTCTCTCTCTCTGTCTCCCCTTCCCTTCCTTCCCTTTTCTAGTGTCCATTACAGCTGTAGTGCTTCTTTACTCTCAAGAGGGACTACCTCAACAAAAAATTCAACTATACCAATACAAGATAGGGAAAGCATGGTGAAGAGTGTTCCTTTTCTGGACTGAATATTGCCTAGGGAGTTTTGTAGGCTGAGAACTTAATAGGGGTCAATAGCAGGATACAACAGCCCAAAGGAGTTAATGGGATCTTAGGCTACCTTAAGAGACACTGAGCTTTAAGTAGTAATAAGGAAGTAACAGTCTTTGGTGTCCTCTGCCCTGGCCAGGTCACATCTAGAGTATTGTGTTTCAGACTGTTTGCCACACAGTTTAAGAAGAATATTGATAAACTGGAGAAGATCCAGACAAGGGCAACCAGGATGGGGAAAGGATGGGGAAGGGACTTGAGTCCATGCCACATGAGGATAAGTTGAAGTAACTGATGATATTTAGCCTGAAGAAGACAAGATTTAGGGAGGATATGATAGTTGTATGTAAGTTCCTTAGTTATTAGAGAAGCATACGGAAAGGCTGTCATATGGAAAAGAAGTCAGATTGGCCTTTTAGTCTCAAAGGGAAAAACTGGGAACAATGGGTGGAAATTGCAAAGAACCAAATTTAGGCTTGGTGTCAGGGAAAACTTCCTTAAAATTAGAGCTATCCAAAAGTGCAACGGCGATAGGGGGGTTCCCTTCACTGGAAATTTCAAGTAGAGGTTTGATGACTACTTACTGGATATATTATAGTGGTGATCCCTTTTCAGATATAGGTTGGACCATATGGCCATTGAGCTTCCTTCAGCCTTTGTGATTCTGCAATGTTTTGAATCCCTCTGGTCTCGAAGTATCCTGGGACTTACAGTTAATCTCAGTCTCCCAAAAAATATATCTCCCTTACCCTGAAACACCACTCTCTGAAGAGGTTCCTTATATAATCAATTATGAGGTAAAGAAAAACTTCCTAACAATTGGCAATGTCCCAAATTGAGGTGGGCTACCTCTTCTCTGAAGGTCTTAAAGCAGAAGATTTCCAGTGATGTACAGAGGATTCCTGCATAGCACCTGGGGTTCCCTGCTCACATGTGGGACCCACAGAATCACTACCCCAAGATCAAGATACGGCCAAGGCCAAAATGGAGCTAGGGCTAAGGCCCCAGCTGAGCCTGGGGCTGTTGCCAATGCTAAAGCCATAACTGAGGCCAATGCCCAAGGTGGGGCCAAGTCGGTGAGGGGGGCTGTGACTATATATGGAGCCACTATTGGGAGTAGGACCACGACAGGATTGGAGACCTTCAGATCTACCTTATAAGGTTGTTGTTAGGGTTAAGTTAGAAAAATATATAAAGTGTTTGCAACCTTTAAAGTGCTATTTAAATCTTAGTTATTATTACTTTAAAATAGTATTTTTTCCAATTACATATAAAGACAGTTTTTAACTTTTTTTTTTTTTTGGTTAGGCAATGGGGTTAAGTGACTTGCTCAGGGTCACACAGCTAATAAGTGTTATGTGTCTGAGGCTGGATTTGAACTCAGGTCCTCCTGACTCCGGGGCCAGTACTCTGTTGTTTTTAACATTTAAAAAAAAAATTGAATTCCATATTTTTCTCCCTCCCTTGCCTCCCCCCTCCCTAAGATGGTAAGAAATTTGATATAGGTTATATATGTGCAATAATGTAAAACATATTTCCCTATCAGTCATGTTGTGAAAGAAGGAAAAAACCACACACACACACAAAGTAAAAATAGTATGCTTCAATCTGCATCCAAACTTTTATCAGTTCTTTCTCTGGATATAGCATGTTTCATCATGAATCGTTTTGGAATTGTCTTGGATCACTGTTTTGCTGAGAATAGCTAAGTCTTTCACACTTGATCATTGTTACAATGTTGCTGTTGCTGTGTACAATGTTCTCCTGGTTTTGCTCAATTCACTTTGCATCAGTTCATGTAAGTCTTTCCATGTCTTTCCGAAATCTGCCTGCTTGTCATTTGTTATAGCACAATAGTATTACATTCCAGCTGTACACTACAACTTGTTCAGCCATTCCCCAACTGATGGGCATTCCTTCAATTTCCAGTTCTTTGACACCACAAAAAGTGCTGTAAATCTGAGCTGTTATCATAAGGCATCCTCCCTGTCCTCAGAGAGAGATTGGAGCCACTCTGCCCTAGTAGAACTGAGATGGATGGCAGGGGACTCTTGCAGAGAGGAGGCCTAGAAGCAGGGAGAGGGAACAATACACAGAAAATTCTACATGCCCAGCATTTACCGTAAGACCAGTGGAGCTTTGCACTCAGGAAAGATTCCACCCCCAGGAGGTAGCAAGCCACCTGAGAGTTTGATGACATCGCCAGAAGATTTTAGGAGTCCTGCAGTATCCGAGACATGGATTACCTCCTTCACATATGTTCCCTGGCCATGAGTGTGTTCCTCATAACACAGTCATTATTGTGCCCACTCTACCTATTTATGGTAAAGGCTTCAGATTTGTGGAGGAAATGTAACTTACCAAATGCCTTTGCTTTGAACTAGTTGCATTTACTGACTGGAGAAAAACACATAAGTGGAGGCTTGTGAGCCATAATTTTAAATGGATAAAGATTCACAGAGTACCTAGCCCTGGAGTAGCTATTCTGTGTTATCACTCAATTCTTGAGATTTTGTGTGTGTGTGTGTGTGTGTGTGAGAGACAGAGAGAGAGAGAGAGAGACAGAGAGACAGAGAGACAGACAGAGAGAGAGAGAAGGAGGGAGGAGTAGGGGCAGGGGGGGTTCTGTGTGTGTGTGGGAGGGGGGGGGAGTATATTTCTGTATATATGTATGGGGACCTCCCTGAGTATAGAAAAGGCTAAGTTTGGATATCTGTGTGTATACAGGTTTCCTCTGCATGCATCTTTGTCTGTGTATGGAGAACCTTCCCTTTTGTGTGGGAGAACCTGGGTATGTGGGAGAAAGCCCTCCCTTTGTACAGCCCATCTGTGTAGAGGATGACATCTCTCTTCTGCAGTATCTTGTTCCTCTTAATTTTCCATCTTCACCTTCTCAATCCCCTAGATAAGCCAGAGTTAGAGGCATCATTAGAGGTAGAGGCCCAAGCACACCTGATCTCTGCATTGTCTGAACCTCGCAGTTTTGGAGTAACTGAAGGACCCCAGGCTTGGCTCTTAAGGAAAAAGAGTCGGGCCCTTTTGGCTTCTCTACACAAGGCCCAAGATCCCTGGGGACCCTCAGGACTGCCTAGTGCCCGCACCCAGGTCCTTCATCAGGTGAAGTATCGACTAAAGCATCGAGTGTCCCAGGCTATCCGGAGGCTCAAAGCATTGCAGGCCATGCTGGCCTTGAGCTCTCATAGCCAGACCCTTGGCTGCAACTCCTCTAAAGGGCTGCAGACCCTGGAAGGCTTCCTGGAGGAGGAGGGCACAGCATTAGGTATGCTATTGCCAGAACTACATAGTGACCTGTGCTGCCTGGAGAGCCAGCTGGCAGGGGGCCTTCCCTGCTCCTCTCCACGATGTGAAGAAGTAGCCACTGCCCTTTGGGCTGGCCGTCCCCCTCATCCCTGGCGGCATCACATGTATGCTGGGCCCCAGCCACCCTGGCTGTGGCTGCACCAGCTGTGGCACCAGGGCCAGCTGCTAACCAAATACTTAAGTCTATGTGGACAGCTCGATATGGGAGGGTTTGACCAACAGAATCGCTCATTTCACCTGTCTGCCTTCCGTCACCCCAGAGGGTTATTGATGGCTATTCGCTGGGAGGCCAGCCAGAACTGGGTTCGTCGCTACACCACATCAAATTTAGCGTCAAGCGTGACACCTAGCCCGGGCCATCCACCTCCGACCTGCCCTGCCTCCGTCCCTGGTGCACGTCCTCACTTCCAGCTTAGCCCCAATTTTATCTCCCCATCCCATAACCCAACCCCCAGGTTTGACCCTGCCCGCCACAGCCCCAGTAATGGTCCCCAGTACAGTGGTGGTCCTAGCCCCAGCGGTGGTCCCCAACCCAGCCCTGGCCCTAGCCCCCAAGGTGGCCCTCAATCCAGCCTTGGTCTCAGTCCTGGCGGTAGCCCTATACACAGTCATGGCTTCTATAGCCACCTTTCCATTAATCATGGCTTTAGCACTGGCACCAGCTCCAGGTTCAGCAGTAACCCTAACTCTGGTTTTGGCTTAGTCTCTAATCTCAACATGGGCATAACTCAACAAGGGATTGAAGCAATTCACCTTCAGTTTCAGGTAGGTACTCTATCCCTGCCCTCTTTCCTTCTGACTATAAGCATAAGCCTGATTCATTTCATGCCTTTCCTCGATGCCTCAGTCCTGGCCATGATGATTGTGCCCCCAGGTGGAATGTGGACCAAGGCCCATAGCTCCTGAGGGTGGCCTTCTAATAACAGGACTGCTTCTCCATCATGCTGAATGGGATCCTGAGGACAGAGCCTTGCAAGATGGGCACTCAGGCGAGCCCAGGCCTCTGCCCCCTGTCAGTGTCACTCCCCACTTCATCAACCAAGATCTACCATTGCCCCCCTCTCCTCTGCCTCTCTATCTCTGTCCTGTCTACCTGGGGGGAATCCTGGGATCCTCACGGCTAGACCGTGCCCACCTTGTGTTACACCTGCCACTGCCTACCAAACTGTCTCCTGCCACTTGTGTTCAGCGTAGGGTATATGTGTGTAGTCCACCTTTGATTTGAGCCAATATCCAGAATAAAAGAGGCTGGTGGAAGGCATGTGTGTGTGTGTGTGTGTGTGCATGAGTGCACACATATTCCCTTATTGACATTTCTACTCAGGCATGTTCAGGCAGCCCTTGAGACAGAGGGAAAAGCGAGAAGGTGGAATTAATTCAACCTTTCCCTCGTCTGGTAACAGCTATTTGGTCTTTTAGTCTGGAGTTTGGCTAGCTTGGGGAAGGGAGTAAAAGAATAGTGAGGTGTGGAGGGACTGACACGGGCCAATAGCACCCACTGCCATTACTGTAGTGGAGCAAGATCTAAAGGACCATCCTACTCAGTCCTTCACTTTCTGCTCCACTGTATGCTTCTAGGTCTGACACCACCTCTCTTCCTAGAATGCCCTTCATCAAGTTGGAGCTCTCCAGAGTTCAAGGACATATTTACTTAGAGCATCGAATAATGGATAGCGAGCAGGCATCAAAGCTGACACACACTGGCTGTATAACTTTGGATAAGTTATCTAACCCCTCAGTGCCCTAAGCAACTCTCTTCTAACTATAAGTTGCAAAGAAGGTGCTGACCTGAATTGGTAGAGGTTATTGCCCACATGGGAATTTCCTATACTAAGGAAATCATAGGTCTAGTCCCTATCCTATTTACAAGGAGAGAGTATAGGTCATAACACAGAAAATCATCCCATTGGCCTTCTTTCTGGTCTACAGTCTAGTAAGACTGTAACTACTTTTCAATTCATCTGACTTAGTCTTTTGGTCAGGTTACAATAAATACCATAGTCCTCAGTCAATCTATGACAATCAGTGGGCACTGGCCTTAGCAATCTAGCCATCACCACCTTCTGCCCCATCCCCCATCATGTGGTCCCTATCATTATATTCTCTGAAGTGTACCTATAAGACACAGAATAATGCATATAAAATAAGTGCTGGATTTGAAGTCAGAGGACGTGAAGCCAGAAGTCAGTGTGTGTCTACCACTGTGACCTTTGTTAAGTCCATACCCCTCCCTGAACCTCAGATTCTTTATCTTTAAAATTAGGGCATTGTACTAAAGGACCTCTACTTCTAAGTACAGAGTGTCCCAAAAGTCTTAATACAGTTTTAAGCTTTGCTTATATATATACTACAAACCAAGTGTAACCCTTGTGTCAGAGGTTTGCTCTAAAAATGGAAAAGTCCCAAGTATACTTTAGAGGATTTCTTACTTCTCTAGTTCATAGCTGTACTGGCCCCTCCCACAAAAAAATATGAGAAAATCACAATCTGATAACCAACTTCTCTTTCAACAAAGCACTTTTTTCATACATTATCTTTTCTTGAAATGATGGTATGTGATAGGAGCTGTGCATCAAATCATTCAGATAACTTCACTGGTGTAGATCATAGAATTCAAGCATCTCAAGAATCCAGTAACTATACCTTTAAATATAAAAAGTAAAGACCTTTGATTTATGGAACACCTACTGTGGTCTTAGCATTGTTGCAGTATTCAAAGGCAGACAAATACTGGCTACAAGGTCCCTCTCCTTAGAGAGGGTTTCTATTTAAGCTGAGAAATGCACAGATGTACACGGACATAGGATTTCAACAGCAAAAGGCATGCTGTTTGAATCTGATTAAATACTCGTATTTATGAATGACATCTTGAGAGATGACAGCTTTCCTACCTCTGGCCCTTTTTGGTTATTGTTGCCGCAGCCTCTGGATGGAAGCTCATTACCTTGGACTTGAGTAACCTAGGAGTTCAGTCCAGGGTTCTTTCCTGGGGAGAAGTAGGGTCAAGGAAAGTGAGGCAGTTCCATGTTCCTGAAGTAAGTAGGCTTCAAAAACAGCCTATCAGATGTGGAAGGGACTTTATATGTCACTTGATCCAAAAGCTTTTGTTTATAGAACTGGGCCCAATTAAGGGATGTCTCCAAGGTCACAGAAGCAGCACATGGCAAAGTTGGGATTCAAACCCAAAACAGAGTGTTTTGAATGAAAGAAAAGCATTAAGTACTTACTATGTGCCAAATAGTTTGATTACACCACAGTTACTTGCCCATCACAGGTTATGTGTCTGTTTACATTGGAAGGCATGGGGGTGGGGGCACATACTGGAGAACTTGAGTAGTAGAATTATTAAGCACAAGATCACATACAATTCTGGATACTAATCAAACAAGTATATATTGCCTACTATGAACCAGGTAACGAGGAGCCTGGTGCTAGGAAAGACAAAGACAAAAATGAAACAGTCTCTGCCCTCAAGGAACTTATGTTTTACTGGGATGGTATAGCATATTCACAGAGAAGTAAATAAAAAATTTACAAAATAAATACAAAGTTATTTCAGTGAGAACAGGGGCACTGAAAACTTGGGAAATGAGTAAAGGCCTGATTGTTTACATCAATAGAGAATGAGCAGACCAATGAATTATATAAACAATTAAAAATACTAGAAAAAGAAATTTAAAAATCCCCAGTTAAACACCAAATTGGAATTCCTAGAAACTGAAGGTGATATTAATAAAACTGAATCTAAGAAAACCATTGAATTAATAAAATGAAGTTGGTTTCATGAAAAAAAAAAAAACCACTGACTTGATTTTTTTAAGAAAAAAAATAAAACATCACTAGTATCAAAAAAGAAAATTGTGAATATACCACTAATGAAGGTAAAATCAAAGCAATTATTAGAAGTTATTTAGCCGATTATATGCCAACAAATTTAACAATTTAAGTGAAATCGAAGAACACTTACAAAAATATAAACTGATTATATTAATAGAAGAGGAGCTAAAATATCTAAATCTATTTAGAAAAAGAAACTGAATTGACCATAAATGAGCTTTGTAAGGAAAAAGCATCAAGACCAGACTGATTTACAAGAGAATTCTACCAAACATTTAAAGATCAACTAATTCCAATATTAAATAAATTATCTGGAATAACAAAGAAGGAGTCCTATCAAACTCCTTTTATGAAACAAATATGGTGCTGATACCTAAACCAGGAAAAACAAAAACAGAGAAAATCATAGACCAATTTCATTAATGAATATGGATGCAAAAATCCCAATTAAAATACTAGCTAGGAGGCTACAACAATATATCACAAAGCTTATACATTGTAATCAAGTGGGATTTATACCAGGAATACAGGGACAGTTTAATATAAGGAAAATTAACAAAATTGATTATATCAATAACAAAAGTAACAAAAATCATACGATTATATCAAGAGATGTCGAAAAGCTTTTGACATAAACATTTATTCCTATTAAAAACATTTGAAAGCATAGGTATAAACAGCTGTTTCCTTAAAATAAGAAGCATCTACCTAAAACCATCAGCAAGCATTATCTCTAATGGGGATAAGCGAGAAGCCTTCCCCAAAAGATGATGAATGAAACAAGGATGGCTGTTATCACCAGTATTATTCAATATGTACTAGAAATGTTAGCAATAGTAATAAGAGAAGAAAAAGAAATTGAAGAAATCAGAATGGGCAATGAGATAATAAAACTATTTCTTTTTGCAAATGATATGATACATGGAAAATCCTAGAAATTCAACTAAAAAGCTAGTTGAAACAATAATTATGGCAAAGTAGCAGGATATAAAATAAACCCACATGAATTACCAGCATTTCTACATATCACCAACAAAACCCTGCAAGAAGAGATAACAAGAAAAAAAAAAGTAAGAGATAACCCCATTTAAAATAACTCCAGACAGTAAGTATCTGGGAGTACACCTGTCAAACCCAGAAACTACATGAACATAATTATAAAACACTTTTTATACAAATAAAGTCAGATTTAAGTAATTACAGAAATATTGTTTATGGTGGGAAGAGCCAATATAATAAAAATGACAATTCTACTTAAACTAATCTACTTATTCAATGCCATCCCAATTAAATTACCAAAAAATTATTTTATTAAGCTAGAAAAAAATAAGAAAATTCATTTGGCAGAACAAAAGGACAAGAATATCACAGGAATTAATGAAAAAAAAGTGAAGGAGATTTTAGTAGTACCAGATCTTAAACTGTATTATGAGACAGTAATCAAAACTATCTGGTACTAAGAAATAGAAAAGTGGATCAATGAACAGAGTAGACATACAATACACAGTAGTAAATGAATATAGTTACCTGGTGTAAATATTTAAGCTCGTGGGGTAAGAATTCACTATTTGGTAAAAAAAAAAAAAAATTGTTGGTAAAACTGGAAAGCAGTCTAGCAGAAATCGGGTATAGATCAAGATCTTATACCATTTACCAAGATAAGTTGAAAATGGATTCATGATCTCACTAGAAAGGAGATATCAAATAAATTAGAAGAACATGGAACACATTACCTATCAGCCTTATGTGTAGAAGAAAAAATTACGAATAAATGAGAGAGAGAACATTGAGATGCAAAATGGATAATTTTGATTACATTAAATTTAAAAGTTTTTGTACAGATAGACATTGTATACAGTAACAGCAATATTGTTCAAAGAATAAATGTGAACAACCAAGTTATTCTGAGTACTATAAATATTCAAATCAACTATGAAGGACCTATGAAGGAAGGTGCTCCACAGCATCTCCAGAGAAAGAACTGAGAAACAGAAGCACACATAGTATGGTTTGTGACATATGTGTGACACATATCTGTGTCAAATTGTGGCCTTCTCTAGTGCATGGTGGGGAAAGAGGAGACAGCTCAGAATTTAAAATATAACAAAGTAAAATTAATTTTTTAAAAACAGCTTATATTTACATAGCATTTAGTAATAGTTTATCAAACTATTTCCCAACAATCTTGAGGTGGTACCATTCTTCATTAATATTGTGCTCCAATTTTCTCTAAAAGATGAAATTTATTAAGGGTAAACATACTGCTACACAAGTTTAAAATAAAATAACCAACTGCACCAGTACAGAATAGAGGAGGTTTGGATAGACTGGTTTTGGGGAAAAGACCTGGGGATTTTAGTGGAGTACATAATCAACATGGGTTAATAG